GTGGAAATGTGAAAAATGTCCACTCATCCACAATCGATATAAACAAGTTATAACTTCCACACAACAAACTCATACACACAAATAAAGGCATTTAATAACAACACAAACTGAGAAAAATAAAAAAGTTAAAATGTGTTTTTCCGTTATTAAATTTGCTGTAATAAAGGTTTAAAATTTATATTTAAATTGATATAAACATAAAAACAAAAGAATGTAACAAAATGTTACATGCCAGCTTTCTTTTGGTCTATTACTTTTTACTTTTTGGTCTTTTTACTAGCTTTTGTTATTCTAATCAAAACATGACATTGTACGTTACGTCTATTACGTAATATACGTACATGTATAACACACGAGGCAGGTGTGTACTAAACAGCATTGTGAAACCGTCTCAGAAAAGTGAAGTTATATTGTGGGTTTGCAAGAGAGAAAAGAAAGGGAAGTAGAACTAGAGAAAGAGTCCATTTGACATGTCATCATGGATCTGCAATTTAAAGAGCAAATGTGTTTTGCTGTTCATGACGTAGAGCAAAAGAGGGAAATTCTAGAGAAAAAGAATTTCCCAGTGCTTCAAGGCTTCACCCTACACACACACACACACACACACACACACACACACACACACACACACACACACAAGCCTCACCTCTGTTTTTTTGTATAGATTGTAGATGAAACATCCCTCGACAACAAGTCCCAACATGGTGAGTCCCAAAAGCAGGAGAAGAAACTTCTGGCCCACTCTCACCCACGTCACTTTCTTCTTACTGGGTAGGGAGATGTAGTTTGCCTGGCTGTCCACCACAAACACCTGGGGGACTGTACCCACACTGCCCTCTGCCATCCCATCAGGTTGCATTACACCTGGCTTGTTAGGGCTGAAGGACAAAGGGCTTGATGTAGCGAGGAAGGGGTACTGAAAGAGATAGGGGTAGGTTTAGGTAAAAGCAAAGAAAAACAGAAGAGAAAGGCAGAGAAGCAAAAGACAGGCAAGTAGTGCAGAGAGGAGAAAAAGTTAAAAAAAAAATAGACAGGAAGGCAGAAACGGACTGAGACAGAGACATGAGACATAAAGACAGCTGACACACAGACATGGTCTCTGGAGTTTTGTCTACTCTGGTTGCAGTAGGTACATGCAATGTAAGCTTCTGGGAAACAAAGTGATTTTAACTTACTGCAAAGAATAGGTCAAATTAATAAAAAAGAAATATTCTATTCTGACATTTTGTTTAAAGTATTTCAGAAAGAGATTACCTTAGATTTATACAAGCACCAGATGTTCCTGCCACAGCTCAGTCAACCATCCAGCAGCACAGGGCGGTTTTCACACCTGTAAATCTTCTACAGGACATTGAATAAAAAAAAAGTTCTTAAACAATATTTAAAAAAAATTAAATAACATTAATAGCATTATATGAGATGTCACTACATATTATGACTTCTCTTGATGTCTCACCCTGTGTGAAAAGAAAATCCTCCGTCTGCACCAAAAGATTTATGTCCTCCCTCACCTCTTGCGTCCGCTCGCCTGCTGTCAGCTATCACTAATATTGGTCTTTGAGCAAGCTCAAGTAAGGAGGAAATGATAATGAAATGGGCAAGAGGCAAAGAGACTTGAAGAGAGAGTGAGTAGTGTGCATGTGAGTGTGTGCGTGGGACACTCCCTACAACTACTGAATATAGCTTAGTTATCGTCCCTCAGCTGACACTTCCTTTTCTCTCTCTTCAATTTCTCACTCTGAGTGTCTCATGTCCTGTTGAACACTTTTGGTTTGTTTTCTCTGTGTCTGCAAGTATTTCTTTGGGCAATTTCTGAGAAACTTGCACAATCTCTTCGTCTAGTTGTGGCGTGTGTTTGGCACAATATTAAATGTATTGAACCATGCAATCTGACATTAAACACAGTCACAGAAAGTGGCTGTGTAGGACGGATTTTGGGGTCAAGCTGTTAAATTCACACCCTTTCTTTTGACCTCTACCACAGTTTTACTCACAGTCGAATTCATCTGCACATTAATGCAGCAGAGAAATATTCTCACCCCGAGGCTGCTGCTTTCTCACACATTTGCCAATATAAACATCTTAGCTGATTCACAATGTTGCTTTTATTTCAACTTCATGAACTCTGTATTTGACAACCTGCAGTGATTGAAGTTGACTAATGCGTTGCAGAGGATTGGAGACTGTAAAGGAAACTGCAGCTCATTGCAAGACCTACTATGATGTTGCAACATTAGCTTGTTTACGGTCACTGCATTGTTCAAAAGTTGCTTCACTTTAAGTATTGTTGTCTTCTTCCTTTTTTTCATCATGATTTCTATAATGGGTGATTCATCAGTACTTTTGGGTAGGTGTGCTTTTGTCTGATTGTTTATGCTTGCAACATCCCACCGATGTAATTTATTTGTGTGTTTTGACAGCTGAACACAATAGAAGATATAGAAAGCCAATGTTAGATTTTCTTGTTTCTTCCTTCTATTCCTTCACATACCTCTGAACCAAGTCTTCTGAGAAACACTTTCGTTTTCCTCTTTATGAAGCTTTCGTCTTTTCTCTGCTGTGTTAACTGTAATGACTATCCAATCTGAGTTACAAAAAGAGGTGATCCACGCTTTTGTAGAGTGAAACTCAAACTCAAAAAAGTAATTCAAACTCAGTGTGGGTTTCTTCCTTTGTTGTAGGAGGGGGCAGATTGTAATGACAAACTCCATATGTTGAAACTACACTATACAGTTTGACTTTCTTGCAACCCACTCACCCACCCTCTCTCTCTCTCTCTCTCACACACACACACACACACACGCACATACTCAAATGCAATTTGTGTTCAGTGGAGATAAAGACCCGGGGCGACAGACGGAAGTGGTGGGACAGTGTGTTTGCTGCTTGCCAAATTCTATGTTATTGAGAGATAAAAACGTTATTACAATTATGATCTGGACATAATTGTGATTACATAATTAATACATTAAAGATCAAGTGTGCAACATTTAGGACAGGGGTCAGCGACCTTTACTTTTAAGAAGAATCATTTCTAGCCAAACAAATTATATAAAAATCTGCCTGGAGCCACAAATTGTATTTGATATCATACTTTCATATCATACTTTATAATGATAATTTCTGGAGATTTAGCATACCAATAAGACAGCAAACAAATTGGTCCAAGCACTTTTAAATTCTTTATTTATCATGGCTGAATTCCATTTAGCTGCTTCAGTTTAATGGTCCTGTTATTGTGCATGCTGGCTCACTGTCACACTGGCATGGCTTACTGGGACACTGGGAGAGAACAGAGCCAATGTTAACGTTATTAGTGACACCTGTGCTTTTAGTGAATGTTTATTATGTGGGCAATAGTGAACGAGTGAACGAAGGAGCTATTTCAGACACAGCTGTGGAAAACATATGCTCCAGAACAGGGACCCTACAGGGAATCTAAATGAGAGTCTCTTTGAGTTCTTAATTGCTCTAACAATACAGATGATACAAGCAGGTAAACACATCAGCTGACTTGTTACACACTATTGTTACAAACCCATCAGCTTGTCACACACTATAACAGTAGGTAACAAAGCACAAATTTCAGCACAAGGTTACTTATTTGCATAATATGAGTCAATGACCAGCACATGCCAATTATCTCACATCAACTAAAAAGAGTCCCAGTTAAAACTATATTTTAAAAATGTATATATATGAATTAACTGTACAAGCTCAATAGTTTTATTTGACCATGCAGCTATGGAAATGAGTTATGACAAGGTTTGCTTTTGGTTTGCTGAATAGCAAGCATTGATAACATTAACTGTTACTGTCAAGGCTTGCCAGCTGATGCCTAAATAAAACCTGCCCATCATTAACTTTATTACGTGCAGCTGTGTCTGCCCTGCTGTGACATGTGAAATGATCTAATGGATCTGTACTAAAGAGAGTGTGATTGTAACGGTGTAGCTACGACATGTGTCTGACACAAGACAAACAATTAAAAGTGTTAAATTGACTTTTTGACATCCTTTAGTGTGTGTCTAGTATATTTTTGTCAAATGTTTTTGCGGTCTGTGAAGCTTTACAAGTAAGCAAAGTATTTTAACCTTATTGCCACTGGCCAGGATTTTATAAATCCTGAAGTCATGGGTTAATAACTCCCTTACTGATGCCTGACCACAAACTGTCAGTAGGTTTTTCTCTCATGTTGACTTTCAATGAAATCATAAGACTGTTACAGTAAATGTGTAACAACAATGTAAAATGTGACTTACTCAAGTTTCTAAATTTGTTACAACCACAGAATATACCAGTAATTGATGTCATGACCTCAGTGTGGTAGCTACGCCACCAGAACCCTTGACTTATCCAGTTATTGTTAAATTAACAATTAATAGAACAATTATATTTATATTATTACTGCTGCTGTTTGGGGTTTTTTTGCAGATTTTTATTATTGATGAACATATTTTGTGACATACCAACCAATGTATAGTGTTAAAATATTATATTTTAATTAATGTATTATCATTGCCATTGTTATGTTATTATTATTGCTGCTGTTGAAGTACTGACTAAATACTTACTACCGGATGCCCACACAGTTTATTTAACACATCTTCTCCATAACATTGCCAATCTCCAGTTTATAGCTGCAACACCAGCAAGAGAGCTTTTTCACAACTTGGAAACCCAAAAAAGTTGTTCATATTAGTATGAAGGAGTGTAAAAACTATGAGTAAATGATCATCCTTAAATAAAGACATTAATTACAACCTATAAATCCTTTGTGATATGTGTCCCTGCAGAGAGGCTCATGTAAAGCACTGTTACGGAGAGTAACTTGTAGGTTGATGATTAGTATATGATCACATGAGCAGCAGCGGGTCATACTGTGGCTGTAACGGTTCTGGGTGACAACTTCAGCGCTGCACTGATTGGAGGAGGATTGCTACTCTTCCTCCTCTGATTGGTCCGCTGCATTGCCTTCGTTCGCGGGCCTCCGTCCAATCACAACGCCGCAAAGTTCTTGCTGCGGAAGAGGGATGAGAAAGAGATGGCTGAACTTAGATAGCCCTGTGTTTGGGAATATCGTCGCTATGGACCTTCTCCAGAGGAAAGAGGGGAGCAGTGGGCGGTTGCTCGTCCTCGCAGCAGTGTTTGTGTGGTGTTTGGGGTCTGTGAGCTGTTTCGGACAGAGCCTAGACAGCGAGTTCACGTTTCTGCTGCCAGCCGGAAGATCCGAGTGTTTCTTTCAGACAGCAGTGAAGAATGGTACGATGGAGGTCGAATATCAGGTAACTGTGTGTGTGTGTGTGTGTGTGTGTGTGTGTGTGTGTGTGTGTGTGTGTGTGTGTGTGTGTGTGTGTCTATATACATAATATATATATATATATATGTGTGTGTGTGTGTGTGTGTGTGTGTGTGTGTGTGTGTATGTGTATGTATGTGTGTGTGTGTGTGTGTGTATGTGTATGTGTATGTACGTGTATATATATATATATGTGTGTGTGTGTATGTGTTTGTGTATGTACGTGTGTGTGTGTGTGTGTGTGTGTGTGTATGTACGTGTGTATATATATATATATGTGTGTGTGTGTGTGTGTGTATGTGTATGTACGTGTGTGTGTGTATATATATGTGTGTGTGTGTGTGTATGTGTATGTGTGTGTATGTGTGTGTGTGTGTGTGTGTGTGTGTGTGTGTGGGGGGGTCAGCAGACAGAAGCACTCAGTGTGTGCACAGTTACCTGTTTAACACTCCCATCAGCCACACAGCAAGTCAGACTTTATGTATCTAGCAGCTAGTTTGCACTAAAAGAAAGTCCATCACTTAAAGATCAGTGATAGCAGAAAATACTATACAGGAAATAATACACCATGCATGGCTCGTAGTCTGAATGAGTCACTGTGTAAATGAAAGGCTGTAAAGTATTAGTTTCAGATCCTGGTAGCCTCTGAGCAGTATCTCACAGTCAATCAGTAGTGGTGATATAGTACAGGATGCCCACGCAACCGTGTGAATTCAACACTTTGAGTGGGCTGGAACAACTGTATTTATTAATCTTTTGATTTGTTTAATTAGGGAACATCAAAATGTCCCAGAGTCCAGAGGCAACGTCTTCGGGTTGCTTGTTTTGTCCAAAAAATTCAGACATTCACACAATGGAACAAGTGAAATTTGGGCATTCTTGCTTAAAAACTGACTTCTCAAATGTCAAAATATCCAAATTGTTGTTGATTAACTAATCGACTAATCATCACAGCTCTACTACTGTCCAAACATACATACACATTGTAATATGTAGCACCATGTGAAGTTGCTACTAGCCAGCGGCGTGTTTGCTTAGTGGGAGAGTCGCAGTCCAAGAGACGACAGGCTCTCTCTTGAAAGGCACAAGTAATCTTTATTGAAAATGTTTGGCTTGCAGCGACCTGGTGGCCGAGTGGTTAAGACTCACACCATGTAGCTGGAACGTGCCTGGTACCATCCCAGCTGTCATCTCATGTCTCTCTCCACATGCTGTCTGTAAATGTACTGTCACTATTGAATACGAGTAAACAGTGTTTATATGTCTTTGTGTGTGCACATTCAGGTGATAGCGGGTGCCGGTATGGATGTAGACTTCACCATCCTCTCTCCAGAGGGCATCCGGCTCATCATCGAGTCTCGGCGTTCCGACGGAGTCCATGTGTTAGTGCTACCTCACATTGGCCTGAATCCCTGACCATATTTCATGTTACTGAGAACGGACCTGTCTGTTTATCTTTGACTTTACTTCCTGTTATTCCAGGGTGGAGCCAACACAGGAGGGAGACTATGAAATCTGCTTTGACAACAGCTTCAGTCGCTTCTCCGAGAAGATGGTGTTCTTTGAGATTATCATCGAGGGTCAAGGGGGAGACGTGGGTGGAGATGAAGAGTGGGCGGGATTAGAAGAGCCTGATGGTAGCCTTCTGGAGTACAAGCTGGAGGACATCCGGGTGAGAGGCTTGTTTTGTTTTGGGGGGTTTACAAATGAATTCAAACCAGGAAATCTAGTTCACTATGCAGCCGACCTCTTAGTAAACCCCTGTTGTTGGCATAGATCGGCTCAACCAATGTCAGCAGCTAGGCAATAGCTGTAATAAGATATAACAGGTTTGTTGTGTAGGTGGAATCCAGGACAGGTTTGTCATGTTTAAGTCAAACATAAATAGAGTAGGGATGCACAAATAATCAAAATGATGCTGAAATTGCAGTATTGTGCAATATCCAAATTACAGAAGCTGCAGTTTTTTGATGAAGGTGAAATGTGTGACAAAACCATATTATGAGATAAGAGATAAGATAAGATAGACTTTATCAATCCCTCTCTGGAGAAATTCACAGGTTACAGCAGCTCCAGATAAAACACAGCAGATAAGAAAAAAGAAATAAACAAATAATAAAATAAATAGAAAAATACAAGATATAATGAAAGTTAGAAAGACGTTGAGAGTTGTATGTATACTACATACAACTTTTATACAGATATGATTTATACAAAATATTACATATACAGGACAAAAATATATATATATACAGCAGTAATTTACTGTACAGGTCTAATACTAACAATGGGCATATAGGAAATTATATATATGTGTGTGTGTGTGTGTGTAAAACTGTACAGTACTAAATAGTATATTAAATTGTGCAAAAAAAAAGTGACTGTGATAAGTGTTGACAGATGTTACGGAGACAAACGGTGCTACATTATGTGGTTGTTGGGTTAAAGGACCTGCGGTGGTTGTGAAAAGTACCATGGCAAACAAACCTTGTTCTTTAGATTCAAGAAAACTTTTGTTTGATAATGACCCCGAAAAATGTCACAGCAACATAATTTTTATTTTTATTTTTTTTAAAAAGAAAGAAAATTGTGACGCAAAAACGGTCAGTGGGGATGATCGTTTTAAACCATCATGTTAAATCATATCGTAATCACAATATCTGTCTAAATAATCTCAATGGGATGGTTTTTACCGTATTGTGCAGCCCAGATCTGTCTTGTCTCTGGACCAAATACAGCTTGAAAAACTGTCAGCTCGATGGTCGTATTTTGATTTTGTTTATGAACTAATAAGACTTCTTAATAATTTGGGTATTCAAGTAATAAGGGTGCAAATCCCATGAAAAGACCAAAACAGTTAACTGATCCTACAAACAAGTGTTGTAGCGCCTGTAGCCAAAGCCTGATTTATCTTAATCCTCCATTGTTGTGGCTCTAGTTGATAGAGTCAAAAACCACATACAGCGCCCTGCAGTAAATACTCACAAGAGCAAATGAATCCATGGCTGAAGACATGTGCATCAGGTTTTAGTAAGGTTTGCTAAAAATGTTTTAGGAAATTATTTTTAGTTAATTTTCCTTTTTCTTTAGTAGGAACAAATTGAGCTTCAGGCTGAAAGCCACAGACAGGTTGAGGAAGTGGGAAAATGTTGAAAGACGTACTCTTGTTTTTTTTGGTTTTGCTCCTTGGAATTTGCTGACGATATGGAAGAACGACGTCAGCCGTAACCTTTAACTAGTTCATGCCTACTAACTCCAGCTGGACACATTAAACTAAGAATTGTTGTCCTTTTCTACGGAGTCCACCATGTTGAACCACCATGTCTCTACAGTAGCCCAGAATGGACAAAACAGGTTGACTAGAGAGCAGTATTCAGTTGGTTACAATCTGCAACTTCACTGCTAGATGCCACCAAATCCTACACACTGGTCCTTATAAAATCAAAACCAGCACAGAAAATAAACATGTGTGCTGAATTCTGTTGAGACAGGCAAGTTTTAGTGCTCTCAAAACTCTGTGTACTTTTGAGACCATCTTGTCTGACAAGTCATTTTACTTCCTCTGTCTCTTACTCCCACTTCTTCATATTATTTTATGGGGAGGGTTTTATTGCCTCGATTAGATAGTATCTGTTTAATGATGACAGGAGCTGGGGGAAGAGAAAGAGGGGATGCAGCAAAGGGCAGTGGGTTGGAATCAAACCTGGGCCAGGACTTTCTTACATAGGGTGCAAGCTCTACCAGGTGAGCTGTCAGTGCAACCCTCATCACTTTTTTTTTTTAAATCCCAAAAAAACATTCTTTACACTTTCTCAGGAGTCCATGGACTCTCTGCACAGACGGCTGGAGCGCAGCAGGCAGATGCAGACGGTGTTGCGGGCTTTTGAGGCACGGGACCGAAACCTTCTGGAAGACAACCTGTGGAGGGTCTCCTTCTGGTCCTGCGCCAGTGTGCTGGTGATGCTGTGTGTGGCCCTTACCCAGGTACATGGAGCACTAACACACCACACAGTACATTAACTAACTAACTGGTAATTAACCTGCTAAAAGTTTGTCTGTCACACAGTTTGATATTTGTGTTTTTTTTTCTCCATTCCCAGGTCTACACTGTCCGTAAACTGTTTGACGATAAGCGGAGGGTCTACACATAGAGGGATCATTTTGCGGGGATAAAAGCCTGGGAAGGAGAAACACTCCAACACAAGATGTTCAGAATGTTACCCATTCAGATTGTGCTCCATTCGTTTTCATTTGGTCCGCATCATCACCAGCATTCAGCATCATCGTAGCTCTTTTTTACTTCTAAAATCTTGTTTTAGATCAGTTTGTGAGCAATAATCAAACATCTGTAGATCATGAAGGGTAACCGGACAAGGACGAGAGTGAGGAAGTTTATTGCTTTTCATGTAGTGCCTTTAATGTCAAATCTTACCACAAACCAGTGAGGAAATATAGTTTGAAAGGCACTGACTAGATGCACAGAACAGTAAATGTTGTATAACTGCTGTCTCGCGTTTCTGAAACTGGTTTAGAGGTATTGGGGTTTTTTTCGTTAAAGGTGAAATTGTCCTTAATAAAGGTAAAAGGTTAAGTTATATGCCACGACCTCAAAAGCTGATCCACAGAACACCTGGTTTGCCGAATAACAAAAGATGCCAATGTGCAATAGAGTTGTTGGCGTATTTGTTCTTCCTGACATTTAAGATCTTTTTATTACATTGGTGATTTATCCATCTGACCAGGTAGTTCCTTGGTTACAGTCTCATTGATGTTTTTTTGTTTTTCAGATGTTACTGATTTATTTTCATGTACCAGTTCAAGTCCATGCTGACAAATAAGAATGTAGAATAAGTAAGAGGGATGATTTCCAGTGTGATTGCCAATAATGTGTTCGCCAATAATGTGCTCAGACAAATATGTAGTAAGTACGTGTATGTCAGTTCAGATATGTGTCAGGATAATTCAGCGGTCGCACGCTGATTGTTAGATGTGTGTTTGTATGTTTCTGGCTTCCATTCCGTCGTCTAGATGATCAAACTTGCAACCGGTTTTCCAGATGTATGTTTGTGTCAACAGAATGTGACATTTTGGTTTGAGTGGGGTTTTTCTGGATTTATTTTTTTTTTTTTACTAAGAACAGACTTGCTTTACATATGCTTTAGAGTGAATAAAAATCAGGTTTATATGGGAGTCATTGATGTTAATTAATAAATGCATTTTTTTACACAGGAAATACTTGGTTTGTTGTGAATTGTCTTCGAAAATGGACAAATTAATTATCTTTTCAAATGTGTTCCACCGATGACTTGCATATTCATTGAGCTTCCATTAAAAACATGCTGGGATTAATTGTAGCTAAATTTATTCATTTAATTTAATCAATTAAGCAAAAACTACCTCTCAAGGGCAGTTTCCTTCTTCTTACGTATGTAAATCATGAGAATCCTTAATGCTGTTAACACTGACATGATCAGATTTCAGCATATGGTGTTTTTTGGTACAGCTTTAAACCTCAAAAACCATATTCATATGTCATACAGGCTTTTTTTTTAAACCCTACTTGTTAATGTACAGTTCATTGACCTTGTCAAGATGCTTAGTCCAAAGTTTTTCAGTGTGGGAGGTGGGCCTCCCCAGGGGAACTCCAGTTTCAAGGGAGGCTCAGTGAGTGGAAGTGAAAAACCATAACATTAGTTATCAAATGGAGATCACTTTGAATACCATAAGAGATAGTACAGATGTGCAGTAGTTTGGGGGAATTTTACTGTTTTTCCCACTTTTCCAAAGGCAGAAACTAATAAATGTGTTTTGACAGACCTTTTTTATGAATATGATGTAGTCAGAAAGTATGTCAAACATCAATATAAGGCTGTCTTGGATCAATTATTTAGTGTCAATGGAGTTGGATAATGTAATCATGATATCCAGGAATTGACAAAACCAAGAAAACAGTGCAGGGTGCCTTTCTATAAGCATTGTCTGAAGGGAGGGCCACAGTCTCAGACTTTGAAAACCCAGAGGAAGCAGTCAGGAGTCTGAAAACATGTTTAGACACACTTATTATTTATTATTTACTTATTTGTGCAGATGGAGCTCCCCCTAGCATATGACCTTAAGAATTCATAAAAACAAGGCTGACATTCTCAGATATTAAACTGAAGTTGGTATAAAGGTTAAATACAAGTAGTATTTGATCAGACGCTTGAAAATCAGCCTGAATGAACTTCAGTTGTTGGTGTTGAAATGACCAAATTGCCAAGTTTCTACATTGAGACATTTCTGCTTTATCATTCAGTGTAGAGACAGATAAGACTGCCAGAGATGAGCTTGAGTTCAATTTACATTCACAGTTCATGTTATGTACATTGTACAGTATTTAGCAATGTAACAACAAAAATCTTGCAGGAGTGTAATTTATTCTTTATTGAAGGAGGACATTACAATACACTGTATTGTAAGTGTGGTTTATGTTTTATGCTAAGTTTGTCTCAAGATACAGTTTCTTGATGTTTTAATTTGGCACAGATTTTTCAAACGCTTACCAGTTGACTCATTCATCCTCAGCTTTGACCATTGGCAGTGTGGGTTTGACAGACATTTCAAGTGAGGAATTATGAGACAGTATTTCAGAAGTACTTATAGGCAAAAAGAAAGAAACATGATCACTGCAAAAATATCAAATGTGTAAGCTTAATAACATACCTCTATGTACAGAGGTTATCAGTATTTATGTATTATTTCATTTATATGAGATAATTATTTTATTTTGGACTGAAGAAAGCCCAACACTCACAGGATGTCGGCTTTATTCCAGCCACAACCATATGTGTTAAAATGAATGCCAATTATTTCCCTTCCATAAATGTCAAATAAAATACAAAGCAGTTTCAGAAATGAACATAGGAACCAGCTACAGAAACCTTTTGGTACACCTGAACTTCTAATGCCAAGTGTAGCAGGCAGAGCGGACTCGAAGAGTCCAAGTCCGAGTGTTCAACACCTGAGTTTCCTTCACCAGTGGTTGGGACGAGAGGGGACTTGTGGAGGTCGCCTGTGTGAGAAGACCATGAAAAGAAGACCATGACAAGATTTCCAATCACACAACACACAGCTGACAGATGCAGTGGACAAGGAAATTATCTCTAGAAAACAGGAGTGCGATTGCATACCTTTATTCATTCCTGCTTGTCTCTACAAAAAGCTATCTTTACTGTTCGTTGCCACTGGCAACCCCGGTTACCGTGGTAACCCACAGCTCCATCATACAGTAGGGAAGGAAGGCAGGAAAGTCATGCCAGGCTGCACACACTAAAGTGAAATGTTCTTGTTCTGCATGGCTGTCTCCATTTGACTATCATGCAAGTCACTAGGTCTTGACCTGGACTGTGTGCTACTCACTGAATTGTATGTTCATAGTGCCACCCAGTAACAGGAAGTCCATGTACTACATGTTTACTGACACGTGCATCGAAACAGCAGATCGAATGAAAGATGCAACAAGGGATCAAAAAAAAAACAAAAAAACAAAAACAAAGAAAGGCTTGATGGTGAATGACAAATGAAATGGAGCAAAGGATGTCAAACACCAAGAACAAGCACCAGCCACCACACCTTCTTTTTCTACTTTTATTCAGTCCATCACTTTATACACCTTCCGAAAGAGAGGCCCTTTCCTTACTTGATCCTTTTTGTCATTATGGCTTTTTAAGCTGATAAGAAGTAATTACAAAATCATTTTTGATCAAGGAATATGGATACAAATTTCACCAAGGCTGAGCAGTGGTTGGGAGGTAACTCAACTCAATTATTCTATAGTACTACTTGTGATAAAGTAATTAGCCAAAATATTGAGGCATTGGCTAGTCTATTTTTAATAAGCTAATTCAAGCCTGACCTTTATAATGTGAAAATACTAAAAATGAAGAGAAAACGGTCAAAAAAATGCTGCTTACTTACTGAGGTGCTTAGTGTGTAAATTTACTGTCAAAATGTTAGCAAGTATACAACTCCTTAAACAATTACTTCTAAAAGTGTTTTCTTACCATTATATAAAAGTTATGAGTCAAATACTGTTTTAAGACACATTTCATTTCAAATGAAACAAGTAAAATTCAAGATGATCATAAGGTTCATAAACTTTAAGTCATTAAAGTTATCAAATTTATCCCTTTTCATAATACGGAATGCAGAATATTTCACCATATACTTTGTTAAAAAAGCTACCTACACATAAAGTCAAAATTACATACATAATGCTTCTGAAATGCACAGACTGAAACAGCATCAGATTACCAATTACAGTAGGACAAAGTTTGTAGTTATACGAGTATACATGAGGAGAAAAAGAATGGCTATCTCTTATGTAAACAAGAGGAAAGGTGTTTTTATGTGTGTTTCTAGTCAAGCAGGGAGGGCTCTGACGGACGTATGACAGTGGGTCGGTTGGGAGCAGCCGGGGGTCTTCTGCTGCAGGAAGAGAGAGAGGAAGGGAGGTATTGGGGGAGGAGGAGGGAGAGAAGAAACATGCAAGGCAAAATATCATCAGACAGACATGCACCAAACCACCAAAAGCCAGAACATACTAGTACAACCCGTCACCAGCAGTCTCAAATGTCCCAGCAACTTTCACCAATACCAAAGCCACAATAAGCATCAGATTGTGTGTGTGTGTGTGTGTGTGTGTGTGTGTGTGTGTGTGTGTGTGTGTGTGTGTGTGTGTGTGTGTTTATGATTTTACCTGGGAATCCCAGGTGGCAGTGCAGGAGGCACACGAGCCGGCCTGGAGGGGACAAGAGGCACAGCTGCAGAGTTGGGATCACCTGCGTAAGCCGTTTGGCCGGGGCCGGGGCGAGACGGTACGGGAGGTGCTCCGAATGCCGGTGAGGGGTTGAGGGGTGGTGGAGGTCCCGGGGTGGGCCCCCTTACTGCTGGGGGTCGGCTGGGAGCGGGAGCTGTCGCTGAGGCAGCACGGGACGCCGGTGGAGGACTGAGACAGAGAGACAGGATGTTACTGAGTAAAGAGTTACATTTCAACATGAGATGTCCCCTATATAAAATGATCTCATAGCTCCAGTTCACAAAAATTAACACATTTTTATATTTGGTAAATTGTTTATGTTGATGTCATATGTTTAGATGTTCTAATAACATTGTCATAATTAGTTCATAAAGAAGAAGTAGAAGAAGAAGAGGAAGAGGAAGAATGCATACATTATTACCCTCAAGGGGAAATTCCATTTTTATAGGTTTTAAGAGGTTTTATGAATATTTTTGATAAGCACATAAATAAACAACGCAATGCTGGTTCAAAGATAGAAGTTTGACTGTTGAATGTGTAATAATAGGTCACTAAAGGTAACTTTGGTCTGGATAAGATAAGAACACTTTTTAATTTTGTTATGTGAAGAAATCCAAATAAACCATCCTTAACCATTATTAACCCATTATGTACACAACAATTATATAGTACATAGTGTAAATATTTTATATTTTATTTTGCTGTATTTTATTCTCATTCTTTACTCTTTGCACTACATTGCCCTGTGAAGCTCCACATGGAGGATCAATACAGGAACATCTTATCTTAATTGTGACCTGCATACAAACCAAGCAGGACATTCTACAGTTCAAAATCAATGTGCCAGTGCCCTCAAGTGGACAAACTAAGTAACTGTGACTCTACCCAAAACCTAGTTTCGCATGCACTGACTTTCTTGTTACTTATTGGCCGACATACACGCAGCTGATATATATATGCGTTTATTCATGTTTGCTACCTTGGATCCTTGGCAATCCATCCATCATCTACTGGTGGAGGCACTGGGGTAGAAATAGTGGTGGTGCTGATGTCTCCTATGAGGACCAGGGCCTCTTTCAGAGCATGATACATCCTCAACATCTCATCTCTCCTCTGAGCCTGTTCTGGTGACTCCTCCATCAAACTGCCCTGGTCCCCGGCAGAGTATAGGTAGGCCAGCAGCTCAGAGTGGATGAAGTCCTTCGCCTGGAGATGGGAGAGGGAAAAGGAAAGGAAGGGCGGTTAATATACTCAAGACTATACAGGAGAGAGCGAGTACATGTATCATAAATTATGACTAATGAAAAAAGAGACTTACACTGTTGATCATGAGGTGCATGATAGTCTTGGGCATGAGGTCTCTGATGGACTTGTTGACGATGCCAATGTATGAGTCCACGAGGTTGCGGATGGTCTCCACCTGCCGTTCCAGCTGCGGGTCCATGGACACTGTGTCGCTAGGATTCATCGCATCTTCGCTCTCCGGCTGGACGAGACAGGGACAGACAGAGATGTAGAGATGTAGATCCATTAAAGGGCCTGAAATTTGTATTTTCTTTTCTTCTTCTTTCTTTTCTTGATTGTTACTCCTACATGAACACACTATTTTCTGCCAAAGTAAGACCAGTTTTGGTTGTTTCACATGCAAGAAATAAATTTTGTGTTATTGTCTGTGCGCCTTGTATGGGTTTAAAGTGGGCGGGGCTATGTTGGAAAAATGTGATGTGTCATGTCAATGTAACATACCTTAATATATCAGAATCGGATGTTCCAAATCTGATCAGCTGAGTTATTGACACTTAAACTCTTGAATAAATAATTGAAAATTGACTGTTTGATTGATTGACTACAGTTAATAGATCTTTTAGGATACACTTTTCAAAGTGAATACTTGGAAATACCAGTCTTGGATGCCGGATGTAAATGTTTTAGTAAATGACCTGAATATACTAGTGCGGAAGGTACAGTGGATAACTTTGGCCTTGATATTGGATCCCTGGTTTGGTTCCTGGACTGTCGGGGCAGTGAATAAATGAATAGTTGCACACAATGTGGTTGTGGAACAGGATATTGCTAAAAAGGAGCATTTGTGCTCTGCAAACCTACTCATACTACTAAACATTTTAGTTTAATTAAAAACAATTATAATATAAAACTGACAAACAGCCGACAAAACTCTCTGTATGTAACAGCATGCTGTGTATCTTTAAATATCCCTAGGCTACATTTGGAGAAATACTGGAATCCTTATAATGTGTAAACTGCACGTAAATACACTCTGATACCTGGTCTTTTTCTGGGTATACACCAGCTCTGAGGAACGAAGCCTTCCAGCTGTCGACGTCCTCCTGAGTGTCACAGGCCAGCTCAATCTGACGCAGGTCTTTATACACATTCCTGTAAGACACACACGTGCACACACATTAATCAAAGACAGATGAACAGATGAACACCATAAACAGAAGAAGTTTTAGAAGATCATAGCATCCAAACCTCTGTTCAGTATTGAAGATGGCAAAGACGTGTTTGCTGGACATGAAGCCCTTCTCCACATCTCTCAGCTTCAGGTTGTCCAGAGGCAGCATGTACTTCTTCTCTTTCTCCTGATAAAACACCCGGTGATGTAATGATCAATATAAAATAAAGTAGACTATAACTAATAAAACATCAACTCAACAGAGTCACTTCAAGGTATGACAAGTAAGATTTTAGTATAGCGTGGCAAATCAGGACTACAGTTTTACTGTAGTGTTATGGTAATAACTCTGTAATTACTTTATTAGCTAGAACTTTTCTCTAGTAGAGTAAGCTATACATTTTTGTGCATTTACTGTCCTGTAAGCAGCCTTACCTCTTCATCTTTGTACCAGGAGAGAGACTCAGCAGTCAGGACAAACCAGTAGTCCTTGGATCCTCCCTTCATGATACTGATGTTGATAGTGAGCCAGCCTCTGCGGATCACCTGCACATGAAAGTCCAACATGTAACTAAACTAAACACCCCACAAGAGGGGTAATATGTATCTACAGCATGCAAACAGAATACTAAAAACAAATGAAAGGCAAAATAACAGGCATATACAGATAATTGGCAAATATAGCAAGTCATGCAAGTGTAGTCAGATCAACCCATAAGATAAGAACCTAGATACACCACAAACATAAAGACTGAAAAAATAAATGATGACAGGGTCCTATGAAAAGTCACCTTCTCTGCATCCCACTCTTTGCCAGACTGACAGACAAGAAGACAAAGGGAACAGACACACAGGGGTAATAAGTGGACATCCGCAATACCCAACCAATAGTCTGGGTGGTTTACCATGAATGTATTATAGAGTTGGAGAGTTTGTCCCGGTGGCGCTTCAACAAAAGATTCCCTTGGGGCCTTAAAAGCATTTTCTCTATAGACCAGCATCATAATCAGGGCTGTCTTTAAGCATAGATGAGCTAGGCGGTTGAGAACCAGCTGGAGAGGTGCCTTTGTAATTTATCTTGATCTACTTTTAAAAGCCTGTCCCACTAATGCCTATGCACACATTTCAGTGTTAAAAAAACTTAATGGTGGTAATGCAATAAACAGATGATTTTGAGAGGAGTCTGCAGACTGACTCTATAGTTTACTGAGAGCTGAAGCTCCTTTATAATCATACAATATCATTCACAGCACTGCATAAGAGTCAGAGACACAGATAACCTCATTATCATAAACTCATTACTGGGACACGGTGCATGTGTGTGTACAAGTGCACCCTTAACTCAAGTCATTAAGTAGTTAAAGAGTCAAGCTAAAAGATAAAAGATCTCCACCCTGAAACTGGAATCAAACTAAGGATTTCCATAGATATGGGGTGAGTCAATGCAATTTGTTTAATACTGTCGTGGTATGAGCTATGAGGCCAGATGTTTGCTTCTGGGCTGACAGCTGCTGAAAACGCACCTATGTATGCTATTCAATACATAGAATAGTGATTTGTTAGATGATTGGGTTTGCATAGCAGCAATGCACCTATAATAAACTAGCAAAAAAGTGTATCCACCCAACCCATCAGGTTGTTCCACAGTTCTATTTAAGTGAAGACTTAATATCAGATCCTGAACATGAATAAAACCAGGAAAAGACACAACAGAGACTGAGATTTTGTGCATGTAAAGGTACTAAATGTTTATGAAGGCATGAGTCAGACCAGAGGTTTTTGTGTGATATTATCTCAGTGCAAAGTCAGTAGAACAAGGATAGAGATGTGTGGTGGGCCGCACAGTTTAGAACAGGATGAGAAAAAACGTATTTGGGGCATTTTGCTGAGTGAGAAACTTGGAAATAATGGCGTCATGTTTGTACATGGTATCCAGTTCTCATTACACATCCATGAGTGTAACCCTTTCACTTCCCTCTTTCTTAGCATGGAGCACAAATCTTGTTTCTCGACATGACTGTTGACTCCCCCACTCACCCAAAGAGGAAGTGACAAGAGGAGGTGCAGGGGGGGTAAGGTACTTACAAGAATCCCTCCCTGGGCCGTAAAAAAGGAGGAACAAAAGAGGAGAAAGAGGAAAGGAGAAAAGACAAGAGGGGCACAGACAACAGTATGTAAATGTGAAGCAACAGAGGGCAACAATGATAGGAGAGACGGGCTGAGACAACGACAGAAAGAACAAGAAATAACAAAAACAGCAGGAGAAAGCACATGCTATGATGCTACAGTGGCGTGATGGCTTGATGGGGGCGGGTGGGGGGGACAGTGTATCTGTTGAAACAGGTAGGTTACCTGATTGGGCATGACTCTCTTCTTGGTGGCGTTAGCAGCAGTCCGTTGCTGGGCACTGCAGGAGAGACATTCATTAACATTAACTCTGGTGTTTGACACAACACTTATTTATTATTTAAAACATGGCACACAGTAGGAAAACAAATTAATCTTATCCAAGGATGATATGAAATGACATCACATTATTCATAATATCATTATAACTAGTTTACAAATAATGATTATTTCCATAGTTTTTGTTTGGTCCATGAATTTTAAATCTCAATTTTTATTGATCGGACTGTAATGATGGTGATTTAAAGAACCAGTGTGTATGATTTAGTGGCATCTAGTGGTGAAGTTGCACACTGCAACAAACTGAACACCACTGGCAGCACACGTGCCGACATTATGAATTATTCACTCCGCCCACACAGGCTAAGATCCGACCTGGCCGCCACTGAACGTCCGTAAAGGACGATTGTGCATAGAGAAAATCCTTGTCAACACCTGCGCAGTGAGCGCAGTAGTGATGCTCAGGTCAAAACAAAATATCACAGGTTCGGATGTGCGGGATAAGATTCATAATTTTCATCCCCTTTCTCCGTCACTCTCTCTCTCAAACACACACTCACACTGGTGAGAGCGGGGCAATGTCTTTAATGAAGCTGTGTTAGTAAAAAAAATTGGTTTAAAACTTCTGGTCAAGTTTGCCAACGCCAGTGAAATTTATTAGGCTCACAAATTTACCAGACCTTTTTTTCCTGCTTTGCAACACACACCCATAGATGGTGCCAGTGTTTGAGAAGATGAGACCAACAAATATAAAAAAATAAATTCATGGAATATCAAAATAGTTATTTTTCTGTCCATCAATTAATCGACACATCAATTCAGCTCTAGAAAATGTTAAAATAGACCTCCATCTCTGCTCCTAATGAAACTCATTAATAAGTATTTTAAGTTATGTGTTACTTGGCAAATCCAATGAAGTCCTCATGGTTAGTGTTGATGTAGGACAGCTCAATGTCAATCAACAGCAGCACCTGAGAGGCAAAACATCACACATGTTAAAATACACAAGGAAGAGAAACCGTACAAATGTACAGGTAGGCTGCATTTGTCTCTCTTACTGTCACACACACACACACACACACACACACACGCAAACACACACAAACCTGGTCTTTGGTCTTGCTGTCTCTCTCTCTGACATAGGTGGTGACGATTCTCTCCGTCTCTTCTCTCAGTCGAGGGTACGATCCCAGCTGTAGACACACACACAGAAAATATGCACGCACACTGCTGCAGGCACCGTGATTACAGCACACACACCTGTGCAGGCTTACACAACACTGTAAACACTGTGTATCGTCATAAGCTACCCCCCACCAACGACAGTAAATGTACAGTATAAACAAAAACATGAGGCAAGATGTTTGAAACGTAAACACTGAGGAAGCATGCACTGACGACTTCCATATCAGCTTGAGATTTCTTGTCAGCCATAGATGTTGCGATAGCAGCCAAGTTGTTACAAGTTTGAAGCATTAGTGTAATATCATCTCAAACTGATAGTGAGTCTCAAAAAAATCAGGTTAAAGTCCAGAAAGTGAGGAAGGTAGGGTAGGGTCTGGTGGAGTCTTGTGGGTGAGTGCATTATTGGTATAATCTGGTGAAGAAAAGGGTGTATCACAGGAAAAATACACAATAGTCTCCCATGACAAGACAGGGTGAAAACAGCCATTTCTTAGTGGGTAAATTGCGTAGTGTGAGAGTAGGGATCTGATTTGATAAGTAAGGCAGGGTGAGGGGTTGTTACATAAATCACAAACGTCATTTGATGAGGTAAGTGGGCTGGTAGGGGTCCAGGATCAGAATGGGCTCTTTTAGTGTTGTCATTACAGAGGGAACCACAGGGTGAGGTGGGGCGACGTGTGCTGAGTTAAGCCTACAAGCAGCAGTGAGGGGTAAAGATCAACAACACTAGACAGTGACAAGTTAGTTCTTTATAATCTTGTGATTTGTGTGGTTTTTGTAATTTCCTTTATTTGATTATCTATTGCTCTTTTCCTCTTTGCTTGCATTTGCCCCCCCCCGCGCGCTCTGTCCCCTTTCAGTCTCTGTATTCATTCCTTTCAAATCTGTCTCTCCACCGGTCCTGTTTACCTTTTCAGTGCACTTCCTGATCAGGGTGACAAGCTCGGTGACAACGAGGTCGACACATTTCAGACATGGGTCTTTCAGCTTAATGATCTGCTTTTTCACTATGGCCTCAAACGCCAGGTCTGGGGTGAACAGGCCTGTCCTGTGGTGAGGCATCATGGGAAGTGGAGGTTTAATGGCAGGTGAAGGAGGATGAGGTGTAGCCATGGGTCATGATGAGGAAAAAGGGAACGGTGGTAGAAAAATGAAAGCTCAAGTTGGATAGAACAGTTTGGGGAAAAAAGAATAGGTTTCAAAAAGGAAGAGAAGGATGAAGATTGAAGAATATGACAAAGAAAAACAAACAGGCATTTAGTTAGTTTTACTTAATGTACAGAACAGAAACAAGCTGCAGGTTCTCATAAGTTTTCACTGCCATTTCAGCTTCCTATCCAAGTTAAGAGTCATTCCATAGCTTTTTTAGCTGCTAGCAGCACAGCTTCATGGAGGGCAGTGTCAGTCTGTCCACCTCTTTGGTCCACACCAAAATACCTCAACAACTATTGGGAATTTTAGACTTGTGTGTCGTGAAATTTTGGAAATTGGGACACTTATTGTTACCAGATGACGATCTCTTATTGTGATCTCTTACATTTTGTCCAGAGCCACCACCTGGTCAAAATGTGTCCAATCATTTGGTTTATAACTATATGACTTAATAAATACCTGCAAAACAAATAGCAATCCCATCCTCAGTTGTACTTTGTGTTTAAAGTTAATTAGACATTATACCATTATAAACATTACACCAGCTAAACATCAGCATCTTAGCATTGTCATTACAAGAATGTTAGCATGCTGATGCTAGCATTTAGCTCAAAGGTCAGCTACAGTACAACCTCACAGGACACTAGCATTGCTGTAGACTCTTAAGTCTTGTTTGTGCAGTAGCTTAAACCCAATCCTGCAGCTTGTTTTGCAATTAACCTGTACAGGAACAAGTAACAGCCTGTCTGACCGCACAGCCTCTCAGAGACACCACTCCAGTGCACTGCAGCACAGCCGAGACATTTAAATATATTTACTGATGTTCATACAGGCAAACTTCAAAGCAGGACGGTAAAAACTGAACCCTTCCTTTGAATTCATCCACTTTATTTTCCAATCCAAGATGGCGAGCTAAAAAAACTAAATCAACTGCTTTATAAAACTGTCTGGCATCAAAATGGCCCCTGGCAGCTCTAAAGTTGGCTGGTCTCTGTGGTGTGTATGTACAGGTGTGGCAGCCGGGCAGGTGACCATGCAGTGATACCTTATTAGTGCACTGTCTGACTGTGTTGATGAGCTCCTGGATGACCAGGTCGATGCATTTCAGACATGGCTCTTTCAGCTTAATGATCTGCTTTTTCACTATGGCCTCAAACGCCAGGTCTGGGGTGAACAGGCCTGTCCTGAAGGACATACAGACGAGACAGACATGGAGCCGGGGGCGGGGAGAACATAGACACAGGAAGAGTGTGAGACAGGCACACAGATGAAGGAAGACATGAGCAGACAGACACTAAGGAAGAACAAATGAGGAGCAGTGGAAGAAAAACTGGAAAAAGTGGAGTAGAAGACGGACATAAGGCTAACAAGCAGCCAGGAAGACTAAATGAAAAACCCAGATAAAAGAAAACAAAGACAGATAAAAGGGCCAGCACGCTTAATGGAGACATGAAAAACAGGACAGACATTGACACCTGCAGACAGAGAAGACTGTGGGTCTTTAAAGAGCTGAACAGACACAAACAGGGAAAGAGCTGGCGGTGAGGTACATAAGCTGCTACATGTGATTTGCTGTTTGCACGCCGTCTCTACTTGCCTGACTCCGTGGATGTTCTTGATGGCGTAGCTGATCTCTTTCCTCAGCTCCTTCTCATCAAACTCCATCTAAGACAAAGTGCAAAAAAAAGCTTAGATTTTACTCGTTAATGACAGACAAACATGAGGCCAGACAAATGGAAGAGTCTGCAGGTTTTTGTGCCCTCTTAGTATTAGATTTATGAAAGCTTGCAACAACAAACCACAACACAGCCACAGCATGACATCAGTATTAATTATTGCTGCATCAGTACTGTAAATACATTCACAAAATGCTTTGACACAGTTGTTTTTTCTGCTAACAGTAAAATATCACAGAGCATGTCTTGCCAAATTAAATGATGAAATGTGCACATAATCATAATAATCATGATGAAAATAGACATCATAACACTGGTTACCTTCACCAGCTCGAAGGGAAAGCGCTCATGAAAGATGCGGTTGATCTTTGCTCCACCAGACAAGTTTGAGGTGTCTACCTGGTCACCAGACCCCTCAATGCACTTCTCAAAGTCCACGCCAAACTGCTGCACCATCCTGCAGATCGTACACAGTGTACCGGAAATGTCTTAACATCTTGGGACTAATGTGTATTGTGTATCTGCATCTGTGTGTGTATGCACTGACTGGAGTAAGGCCTTCGTCTTGCGTGTGGGGTCGTCAGGGCGAAAGTTCTTGTACTCTTCCACCTCCTTCTCCAGTGATAACAGCTGGCTCTGCAGCTTACTGCGCAACCCTGGCAATGTGTCACGGATGTGGTTGGTGAGTTGCTGGAGAAAGATAAAAGGTCAGAAAAACATTTAAAGAAAAATCTGGTGTTGGTCCGGTGTTGTTTGAGTTAAAACATGTGCACTCATTTATTCAACTAATCCATGTAATTCAGTTGAGGGACAAATGAAAACATACCAGGGAAAATATTTATAGAATTATAATTAGTCACAAAATGAAGCTTCAACTTTACATGAAATATACTTCCAGTTCATGTGTGTGTGAATGTCTCACCTGATTGAGCAACTTCTGCAGGTGTGGTGTGCCCATGCGTTCAGCAATGTGTCTGTATGCAGGGTGAGATAGGAAGAACTTCCTCTCAGCAGCCAAAGCAACACGGATGTCTTTCTTCCCATCAATGTCCTTTTGACTGCGGTTCACCACCCCGATGTACCCTAAAGGAATACACAGGGAAAAGGAGTTGTTTTTGTTTTTTTATGGTCCAACAGTAAAATACTTTTGACATCAAATCCAAATATTGGGAGCCAAATATTGAATTACTTATGTATGTATACAGTATAAAGGGCTACAATTCCTACACTGTTATTCTGTTAATGTCAAATTAATTATACTGTATGTGTGTGTGTGTGTGTGTGCGTGCGTGCGTGCGTGCGTGCGTGCGTGCGTGTGTGTGGTCTTACCTCTGCGGAGTGGCAGTAGTTTGTTTTCCAAGATGTCTCGTGCATCTGTCCCCTCGTCCATCAGGTCCAGCTTTGTGATCACACCAATGGTCCGCAGCCCTATTAAACAGGAGTTGTCGGATTTACAGAGATAGTTTAAGAACATCATTTAGCCAGTTAAATATAAATATAGCTATAAATAGCCCACAGTGGAACCGTGTGTTAGCAGTATTTTTGTTGTTTCAAAAAAGGTGTAGCATCTGTTACAAATATGCGTACATTTAAGCTTTTAGCACAGCGGTGCAGTGAGCTCAATGCTAACAATGGCAATGCTACAATGCAGATGTTCAGCAGGTATAATGTTGTTCACCATCTTATTTATCATCGGGTTCACTATCTTAGATTAGTGTGTTGTACTACCAGTTTCTAATTAGCACTTCAAACAAAGTGCAGCTGAGGCTGATGGGAATGTCATTAGTTTTACACGTATTTGGTCATAACTTAAGGGTTTACCAAAGTTATAACAATTGATAACAACTGAGACAATCCCACTGCTAGCGTAGCTAACAAGAGCAAGAAATGAAGTAAGCAAATACTTACTTAAACCAGATCATAACTATAAGCAAATTTACCCTTAAGGTAGACCTAATGAACTGTCTGTCTGCACTCAGTGGGCTTTGTAGTTATTCAATGGTTAATAACATCTTCTGGAGTTAGAGAAAGAAGGCCAAAGGTGGAGATAATTCAATTTAATTATATCTCTACTAATCTTATTCAGTACATCTATGCTGCCAGGAAGTCTTTTAATAATGTAACTGTTAATTATTCTGACGAGCCGGCTAAACGAGGCAAAGATTAATAGGAAGAAACGGAGTAATAATGGCTGCAAGATACAGCAAAGAGTAATTAGCTTTGTTCAAAATTAGGGCAAGAAATGGTTACATTTAAAGAAATATCCAGAGAATCTGACATGCAGATGAACATGATCCTATGCACGAGCACATGCTTTCCTTACGGTCTCCCAAGGTCCCCTTACCCTGAGGATCCACTTCCTTGGCAATCTTGAGGGCATCGGAGTTGGCCAGGTCAGAATTGGCCGGGGTGACAGCCAGGACCAGACAGCTCTCCTTCGTGATGAACTGCATCAGCATGTCCCTGATCTGGTGCTCGATATCGTGGGGTTGGTCTCCCACGGCCACTTTGGTCATCCCTGGCAGGTCAATCAGGGTCAGGTTCAGCACTGAGAGAGGAAAAAAGGGAAGGAAGAAAACAATCAGAGAGAGGCTGAAAATGTTCAGCGAGAAGACTGGGATTGTATGTCTGTGTGTGTTACCATTAGGGGAGTAGACACGGAGGTTGATGGGAATGGGGGAGATGCCCTTGTTGGATCCGGTGAGCCGGTCAGTCTCGGCTTCAATCTCCAGACGGACCTCTTCAAAGTCTACAAACTTACGGCCCTTACAGTGCAGGAACTCTGCATACTCTACATGGAGACAATTGAGAGAATTAGACAGGAGGGAGGGTGATGGATTGATATGAGATGACTATAGAAACAAATAAGATTAAAGATAGGGGACAGAAAGAGGAAGATGGTGCAAAGGGGGGCAGTGCAGGAACTTTGAGGGATAAATTAGCTGCATAAAACATGCAATATATGTAATATTCATGTGTACATTTGCATGTCTGCAAGTCCTGCAAGTTGTGCTGATGATCATCCTATGACCAAAACATTCACTTTCTATTTTTACATTTTTTACATTTTTTTACCTTTAGAAGATGGAATAAATTGATTCTTTACTAATTTCTATCAATATTCTTTGCGAAGGAATAGACACCTGACTCTATTTCTTGAGAAGCCCGGATTGAAGAGAAATTCCCTTTCCCAACTCATGTATACTACTTGCCTGCTTTACTGTTAACCAGCTGGAGGATGAGAGGACGACGGGTGACGATGCCAGATCCTCTTGGCAAGAAGTCCCTGAGACGGAGATAATGTTTAATAAACATCAAATGTTAAAATAAGAACAAGAGAAATTGAAAGCACTGTCATTAATCCCAGATGCAACATGATGCCTTTTTCAGTAAATAAATATAAACTGGAGAGGAAGCACGTCAGCATTTCATCTTCAAACATTTAAAATATCTGGGTCTCTGTAAATAATGTTATAAAGAGTTCGGTCTAGACCTGCTCTATTTGAAAAGTGTCCTGAGATAACTTCTGTTATGAATTGGCGCTATACAAATAAAATTGAATTGAATTGAAATTGAATTAAAAACTGTATATGTGCCAGCTTCTACCAAAATAAGAGCACACACACTTAAACTGATCCCTAGGGCCTGTGCTTGTACATGTGTGCATTATTGATACAATGAAAAGATTGACTTACAACCCTATCCATTATAAATAGTGCAAAGAGAAAGAAGCATGTCTCCCTGTTTCCCCGTCTCATTACATACACGTTCATCAGAATGGAAACTCCTGTTCAATAGAACTGTGATCATGTCCAGGTCACTGACTACACATCTCTCCAGGCAATGAGAATATGTCTGTGTCAGTCTGTCTTTCTGTGTGTTTGCCAGGTCAGCGACAAGAACTGAGTTGATTTTTAGTGTAAGGTAGGCAGGCCACACACACACACACACACACACACACACACACACACACACACACACACACACACACACACACACACACACACACACACACACACACACACACACACACACATTTGAACACATACATGCTGTGCCTGTTGTCCACTGCTGACAGAGCAGTCAGGATGTTACACAACAGTGATTCCCATCCTCTTTCCTCATCTCTTCCTGTCTCTTATGAAAGCACAACATGAATAATACGATTACCAACAAGACAGTTAATCAATTAAATCATTGATACATTTATACAATTTATCCAATAAACATCCCACTCAAACATTTGCTGATTACAGCTCTTCAAATGGGAGGATTTGCTGATTTTTTGGGTGTTTTACATCATTGTAGATTAAATAGTGTTAGGCTTTTAGTCAGATATTAGTGTGGTTAAAGTCGGAATCAGTGGTTCACAACTAGAAACAATCATTCAACGCAAATTGTATCTGCAACAATTAAATATTGATTAATGGGTTCAGTCATTTAAATCAAGCAAAAATGCCAAATAACATTCTTTTTTAATTTTCATGTTGGACAGTCGGTCAGACATTTAAAGGTGTCATCTTAGGCTCTCAGAACTTGTCATGGACAGTTCTGAACAATTAATCAAAAACTATTTGACAGATTAATAAGAAAATTAAATGACTGTTAGTTGCAAACCAATTTGACCCCTTTGAAATGAAGCAGTGACTTCTTGCCACCCCTTGTTACAGCTTGTGTGTCTGCAAAAGGGTGTTTTTTTCCATCAAAACAACTTTTTTCAAAACAACTTTGTTTTACTTGAATAATCTTTAGCGGCCCTAAGAGATAAAACCACCAAATATTTCACAAACAAAAGAACAATACTGAAGTTTGTAAAGATGAACAATGATGTTTTTTCTTCTTTTCTATTCAGTTAATAATCGTGTGGCCCATGTGGCCTTCCCCCGGGTTGGGAACCACTGGTCTATACAACTGGAAAACAATAAATAGATTACTAAAATAACCGTTAGCTGCAACCCTCACTAACTACAAATGAATAAACAAATCCAAATCTGTGTGTCAGTAGGCTAATTAACAAACACGAAAACAGCTAAGTAGCCTTCTGTGGGTATCTGGTACCCAGTGTGTCATATACACATGACAGTGCAGCTGGTGACATCACTGATGACCCCTGCACAAACACATCAATGCCCCTACTGTCTCCCCCAGCCACTGCTTGGGACTCGGAGACAAAAGGCAACAGGAAAAAAAGGAGACGTGGCTGCCTAATCAACATTCCCTATCTCTTGGACAACAAGTGAAATCATTTTGACATTCCCTTTTCTGGGGACCTTCCCTTGGAGATAAAAACACAAAGCTGCTATACGGATATCTTCACTAGATTATGCAGCAACACAGCCATGTCTTCTTCCCCTCTCCTTACGAATAGAATTTCTCCCACTGCATGTGTTTGGACTGTAAAGTGAGGAGAGTGATCCTGACATATGGCATTAATGCAGCAGTTGGTTTGCTGCTATTTGTCATCAAAGAGGGTCCACAACTGCTCATTCAAATTCCTTCAAACTCATTCATCAACCTTACAAACAGAGTCAGCAGCATACTCGGGGCGCAGACGTTTCCCTATGTACTGTCAGTGTAACTCTCCAGTAATTCATCTATGTGACAATGACCTCCTCAACACTGCCAACAACCTTTCTGTGCCTCACCCTTGAAAGTAAAACATTGACCTGAACTATGTAATGTTAGGCCTATAATGTGTATTTACAATCTCGTGCAAGCAGTCTCAAGGAAGCACAGCCTTTGTGAATGTTTGACAGAATGGGCCTTATATGAAGCAGTGACTGGTTTATCTATATGTATTTAGGACATGGAGCTCTGGACTAAAGTCACCTTTCAACACCTTTTAAACCAATTTCTCTACAGTTTTTGCCTTTCAGTTAAAAGCTGTTTACTTGCGTAAAATGCGTAATTCTGCATCCGGAATAGCTCAGCTCCAAAATGGAAAGAATCCGTTGGAAGAAAAACGTTGGAAACTGGGAGGCACCGAGACACAGAGCGCGTAACCAAGTGCTTAGTTGGCGACATTTACGCAACAGATCAGCGTAGTTTGTCTTTAAAATAAACAGCAACAAACAGTCAACAAAGTACCAATCACATTCACAGTGTCACATGAACCCAAGATATATAAACGGTACAACCTCCCGACAAAATTCTCCAGCACGGAGCTCTTCCCTGCGCTCTGGCCGCCGACGACCGCTATCTGCGGCAGGTCCAAGTTGCAGGTCTGGCCGATGGAGCTGAAGGCGTCCTGGAGCTTGTTGATGAGGGGAATGAGGTCTTCCATTCCCCGGTTACCCATTGCGGCACTTCGGTCAGCCCAGAGGGCTCTGTCCTGTCTTCCTCCCTGGTTAAATAAGAGCCAAAGGGTCGCTCTTCCAGCAAACCAAAAGTTTCCAGATGGCACTGCCGCCTGTCGTAGTCTCTGTGAGTTTATTTCATAAAAACACTGCGCAGTTTAGAGTCAGGAGTCCCGATAGCGGTCAGAGCACTGGTAAGGTTATTGACTGGGTGATTGCATGATAAAAGTAGCCACATTAGACCGAAAACTTCTGTCATCATCCGGTCAGGCGACACCCAGCCTCCGCCGGAGATTGTGGCTCCGCCTCAAGCGTCAGTCCCCGCTGCCATTGGTCAGCTGGGACGTCCGTCAATGTGCACAGACATATTTTTACAATACAGCTTCTCAGACTTGCTGTAAAAAAAAAAAAAGAAGCTTCACCTCTGGTATCAGTGTCACAGTAGGACAGAGGCAGAGCTTTATTCTAAATATGCTTTCATTAAACTGGTCTTTGCTTCTAGTTTAGAATATTCTTGCACTATTAAGTAACAGTCCTCCCTGTTTGCTCCCGGATCAGCTCCTGTTTGCCTCGTTAGGGGCTGTTGGCTCTGAGCAAACTGTGAGGATTTTTCATTGACCAAGCTAATTTGGAAGATTAATCGATAATGGAAATAACTGTTGGTTGTAGGGCTTAAGTTTAGTTTCAACTCTAGGGATATTGTTTGCAAGCGTGTGTGTGTGTGTGTGTGTGTGTGTGTGTGTGTGTGTGTGCACCTGAGCCTTAACTGCGTGTGCGTACACATACACACATAAATAGATCGACTGCAAAACTTTTACTGCATTCAACGTGTATTTGCGTAGATAACTTTAAACAGACCTTGCATCATTTCGCTCAAAGTATGAATAGATTACATTAGATACATTATTTTTTATTGATATAAATTATACAAACTTAACAATGAACAATTAAGAAATTACATGTGATACATTTTCATAATTGTACAAGAAATAACCTGCAGGTAATGTGCTATATATAACTCTGACCACTCCTATAAAGTGTGACTCAAAGGTTTATTCAGCTAATAGAATGCTGCTATATGACAGAGCTATAAAAATAAGATCATCTTTAAACTTTTTCCAAAACTTCCATTTATTTATTTATTTTTTGTAATCAATTCATGAACTTACAGCCAGACACTGAGAGCCTGTGTGTGTCTATTTGGACATATCATGGTGCTGCTACCAGCCTTTAACTAATACAATTGTGACTGATAAACAAACTGGGCAAGCTGTGTCTCATTTACTCTATAGTGTCAATAATACAATGACCCATTAACAAATATAACAATAGTCAAGGCCCATATGGACACTGAAACAGGATTTGATTGCTGTAATCATTCCTGCTGTCATACTTTGGGGACAAAACCCATAGTCCTCGTTTTGTATTCAGAAGTTTATCTGTGTCTAACATGAGGCAAATATAAGACACATACAGTGAGTTTCTTCCAAAGTTTGTCCTTTTAGCTTAAAATTCCTAAATTTGTCCTAAATAAAACAGCTATGAGACGGATACAAAAAGACAAACACTGTTTCTCTGTATCAGGTGGTGGTAATCGAGGACGCTGAACATAATGTATGAGCAGTCACGTCATCCAATCACCTGCTGATGATCACCAGTTCTACCAGAAGAGGGCGCTGCAGAACAAAACAATGTTAACAAGAAAAAGTTTTGTCTCTCATCGTATTCGATATAAGTATCCTGTTTGCAGGCTGTTCATTACTCATGAACTTTGATGGAAGTGGCAGATTGGTCCTGCAGTTAGTGTCTTACCTGGTTCACTTTTATTATGTCATCTATCAGTGTGAATTAACCTCTCTGGCTACTGTAATGTAATATGATAATATTAAAATGTATAGCCAATAGTCAGTATTTACCAAAGATCAAGTTGTTCCAGAATATCTAGGATTATATAATAGTGACATAAGAACACGCTGTTAATAAACCAGCCTATCGTGTACATGTCATTCTCCCAAACCTGAGTAAAAACTTTTATAGCCTTGCAAGCATCACACCACAATCAGATTCTTACCCCAGGTCACGTGTAACCCCTGCCCCCCGGTGTCACTCTGGGACCAACATTTTCCCCAACGCCATTAAGTTGCAACACACTTTTATACGATTCAAACCAAGCACATTTATTTTTCAAATAGACTTTTAAACACATATACAGTGCTGTCATGGTCTTTTTGTAACATAAAATATTGTCATCCCTGCAATCAAAACTCATTACTCTAATAATAAATTGAGTATGAACAACTGTGTGCTGCTGATTCTTGTGATTATGAATAAAATTAACATCATCAAAATAAGTAAGGCCTACAATAAGTTATGGAAGCTTTTCTGTCAATATAACGTCAGACATCAGATAGCTTAGCATTTAAAATAGATTTTTGTTTTTCGACCACACACTCTGTCCCATTCAGAACGAGTCCACGTCCCACCAGTTGAGAAAGCATTTTCTGGAGAAGTACAGCCCCTAGTTTCAGAGCCTTAGGTAAAATGTTAAAGTGTTCATGTCCCCCTCAAACTGCACAGTTAACGTCATCAGGTAATAGACTGTCTTATCTCATTCCCCAGGCTTCATGACTGTAGAGTAGAGAGTCTGCTCTGCTGCTGGAGTTTTAGAAGAGCCATTTTTAGGATGTGCGTCCTTCTGGAAGTCGACACTGGCATAGTGGAGCTGATCTGCGGGAGGGTTGACAGTGGCGTAAACGGACGGCAGTACGACTCCTGAGCTCGCCTCCTGGTTCTGAATGTGTATCTCCTCATAGTGGGGATCTCCATGATTTTCCTGCAGAGAAAGAAGGGGAGTGGTGACAGCTGCAGCCGTTGTGCTCATATGCAAACTGGCAAATACAGAAACGCATATACAAACACACCTCTGTGTTATTTGTCCTCTGCTCTGATGATCCACCTGCAGTACAACACACTGAGGGAAAGGACATTTGAACAGATGGGAGCAAGATATTTGTGTCAGTCTGTATTCAAAGTTACCCCTCGCTGTCAAAATGTGCAAGTAAAGCTACCAACGATCTGTTTGCCAATCAAAGGAGAATTCAAGAAAAGAAGAATGTTTATAAAGCTACAAATTCAAATAAAAAAGTGTGTGTTTTTCCATTCCTCACCTTTTGCCCAGGGGAGTTTGTGTCTGAATAGCAGTAGTACAACCACAAGTATCAGTATCACAGCCAGACACCCTACCACACTACCAATCTCAATACCTGCAACCAAGAGACAACATTAGAAACAATTAAAGGATACAAGCTGTCAGCAGAGGTTCATTGTCCTCAGCATTCAGGTATAAATGAGAGGTTGTGTCAGCGTGTGTTTGTGCAGTGGAAGTGTGTGTATATTTATGGAGGTATATAAAGCAGCTGTTTGTAAGCATTAATGAAACTGATGAGATCACCTTGGTCTGATGAGTGAGCACCTTTATTATCTTTATCTCCACCTTTCATGTAATTTTCTTCTTCATCTTCATATTCATATTCATCTTTCTTGTAATTTTCTTCTTCATTGTTTGCACCATCTTCGTGTGGCCTGTCCTGGCGAGGGGCAGGTTTTCTGTCTTTGGTTTTGATGCTTCTCTCAGCTGCACCAGAAGGTGGCAAAAGGCATAAATAAAATTACTACATAAAAAAAAAAACACATGCATGCAGATGTTTTAAATGCAAGACGCTAATCTCCCACATCTGTTTTCACATTCTTTTAGTTCCCACTCCTGGTTCTGTAAAAGGTTAAATATAAAAATACTCCTTTACAAGTAAACGCCCTGTATATTAAAACATTAATACAATATAGTTTTTTATTTTTATTTATTTTATGCATTAACATGTAAGCTGCATTTTTAAGTTTTAAGTAAGATTTTCATGAACTCTGACTCCTTTTTTGATACTATTTATGGTCTGCATTTTTTCTGCTATAGCCATTCAAGGTATTTACGTTCTGTAATTGCCTTTTTCTATATAGTATTTTTCATCATTAATGGTGGAGTCCTAGTTCCTACCCTTGATTCCAACTCATACCAATAACATGAGTTTGAATTTAATTTCTGACAAGCTGCTTTTCCAGTACAGTTATGCAGTTCTGTAGAACTATTTATACAAAGTTACTGTACCTCTATTCCTCAACATCAGCCCCCACTTTTTGTGTATTTTCTGTAGAGTGAATACTTTTTACTTGAGTTATAACACTAAAGGACTCAGTGTACTCACCTACAGTAAGGAGAATTTTGATGTATTCGGCATCCTGCCATGACCTGTTAGAGGCACACCAGTACGTTCCAGAGTCGGCTGTGCTCACATTCTTGATTGTTACATAGAAGTACTTCAGTCTCTTGTTATCCCTAATGTTAAACTTGACTTTGACCACATCTCTATTCAGTTGTGTTGTATGTATTAGCTCTTCGCAATTCAAAGGACTTTCCCCCTTGCACAGGAATTTCTCATTGTTCTCATGGTTGTCCGGATAATTACAGTGGATTTTTACAGTGTCCCCAGTGTCATAAGTTCTTTCCACTGATGTAATGTCTGAAAAAACAGAGATCAGTGTCATCACTTTTCTGGAGAAATGTGTTTTTTAAATATAGAAGCTTGCGTTATGTTAACTAGTTTTGAATCAGAATGATTAAAAGTAAAAAAATACTCACTGAAAATAAACAGATGGATCTCAGTTAAACATGCAACAGATTTCTTTCTTTCTATAGCACACCGGTATCTTCCAGTATCATCCTGCGTCACTGTGGAAATGGTCACAGTGTAGACTCCTCGCTGTTTGTCGTCTGTTAGAGAAAACCTGTCTAGCTTTGTGTAATTTGCAGTGTACGTTGATATCAGATTTGTGCAATTAGGGTTTCCATCTTCTCTGCAGAAGTGTCTGACGATGTTTTCTTGCTGCTTTTCTTCTGCTGGATACTTGCAGCTGATGGTAACAGAGTCTCCAGGATGTGCTGTCTGGGTCACTGGTGTGTTGACACCTGCCAAAGAGTTGAAGCATGACTGAGAATGAAACTGAGGCCTGGCCTTTTACTTTCCCTTAAGGCAGCATACATTTAGATATTTGTCTCACATTCCAATATTTAGCTCATCATGTCCAACCCAAACCTGTCCACAGCACACTTCTCTCTGGACTATGATTATCAATATTAATTTATAATGTAATATAACCAATTACAGGTCTTACATGGTGAAATACATAATACATTAGGTATCAAAAGAAATATAGTACCAAAAGGAAAAGGTGCAAAGTAACTAACTGTCAGATAAATGTTACTGAGTAAAAAGTACATTTTATTCAACTTTACTTTACTAGACATTGTTTTATTTTGGCATGCACGTTTCTGGGCAAAAATATTTTGCATGATGCTTTACATCTTCATTGTACTTACAGGTAACACTGACAGGTCCACCTTTGTTTCCTGTCACAAACAATACGCTCACACTAGCTGTTAAAGAAATAAAACAAAAAAAAGGTTATTTCATCATCAATCACATCGTCAACAGGTTTTTGTCAAAATATTTTCACTCTCATCAAACAAAAACACGGAGAAGAATGCAATTAATTACCTGTCATTAAGAAGAAGATGACTTTTAGTGATATTACCATTGTCGCAGTCCAGTTTTTTTCTAGCTTATAGTTTAAATTCTACTTTTAAATTTCTATTTTATATCAAATATTTACCAAATTTCTCTCTGATCTCTATGTTTTTTTCCCCCTCAGTCACACCATCTGTCTTTCTGCAAAAAGAAAACTGCATCAACAGCTCCTCTCTTGCACATAATCATAAAGATTTGCATTTTAGAATGAGGATGTAGATATTTTTAAGCAGCGAGAGTGAAATGCTAGAAAGAGAGAGAGAGAAGTTGAGAGTGTTGACTCATATTCAGATTAATTACTGAACTGTTGCATCTCATGATCTCTTCGTCTGTTCATAGGAAAAAATAAATACGGTTGTACTTCACAGAACAATGTCCACAATGTCCTGCTTATCTTCAGATCAAAATAATTATAATACCAGCTATTTATATCCATTATATACAGCAGGTATTCTAGTGATGTACCTGTCTGTAATGGGATATCTGTCACTCCATCTGGAGGGACAGCAGCACAATGGAATATTCAAATATGGCTTTAATGGCCGATTAAAAACCTGCATGAACATATGTACCTGGAAAAACAAAGAAAAACAAATTCACTTTGAAATAATCTTCTATTTTCAAAAAGTGCTTTTATAGTGAGCCCTTCTTCATGTCCCATAAAACAACTGACAGTAGAGTGTATCTATTAGTGTAAAAACTCACATGAAATACATTTAGGCCTAGTCCACACCTAAATGGGAAGTTTTAAAAAGTAGCTTTTTCTAAATATTTTGGCCTTTCATCCATATGCAAACTGCATTTTAGGTCCCTGAAAATTGACCTTTTGGAAAACCTGTTCCATGGTAAATATTTTTAGAAACTCTTAGCACCAGTTTTGTTAAGTTATTAATGCTACCTCAGCTAATACTGAGAAGTATGGGATTTTATTTTTTACTTTTACAAATAAAATAATGCTAAATTGTTAGAACTGGCAGAACTTGTCATCAGTGATAAAGATGGAAGATTACTTGGGGGATCAGTATTTCTCAAATGCGGTGCTGACCATTTTTATCAAACCCACCATCAAACTACATGGACGAATGACAAACCAATAAACACAAACGAGTGAGTGTATAAAACAACAATAAAACCAACAGGGACTATGTTTTTGGGTGTCTGATGGTGGCATCCATCAGAGGGTCCAGCAGCTGATCTGATCTGTCCCCTGGGCTGGGCGGCTGACTCTGTGTTGCAGTAGACTGTGGGCTAGAGCAGATGGATGTCCTCACTGATGTGTTGGTTTCCCCTCGGCGGAGGGCCTGCTGACTCTGCAAACGTTCTCCTTGTGCTGATTGATCATCCATGCAGAAGCATCGTCCTGCAGACAGGAACTGATTGAGCTGTTGAACGCAGAATTAGCCATCCGAGTCTGGACTGTGACTGGATGACAAATGTACGGGTGTCTGATCTTCTGCGACTGGTTACTGCTGCGTACATGCTGTCAGATGAAGTGAAGTTGAGTGATGGGTCCAATTCTCTTAGTTGACCCTGGCTGCGATTCTCCATGTAAAGAAGCTTTGCCTTGTAAACTCAAATATAATCATGTGCACAGCTTCTGCTGTCAGCTGTAACCAGGATAACTGGTTAAGGCCGAGAATAGAATAATTTGGGTCCAATCAGTGGGTAAAAATCAATGCTGCAGAGGCACACACGTTAAATTGAGGCCACTCTTGCTGTATGATGTCTGTTTAACACAATAGAGGGCAGGGTATCCAGAGCACTCTTTAATTTATCATGACTGCTTATTCTTACTTCAGTTCAATATGAAAATGAACTTGTAGAATGCATTTAGTATCTTTAAATAACACACAAGCCTGGAGCATACATTTCCCCTTTTTAAAACGTGTCAGTAACAAACTTCTGAAAAAGGAAACAGGTGATATAACAGTTTCAGTGCAGTTCTAATATGAAGCATTCTAATTTCCTGCATTTATAAGGGGATGTACAAATAAACTTGCATTGCCAATCACAAAGACAGACTTTTTTCATAAAAAAATAATTTTGGTTGTTGAGTGTGAGGTGTCAGCTGTATGCATATGTTCAGGTGGTGTGGACGACAGTGATCTATTGCTGGCACTCTCTGACACTGAGCCACCAGAAAATCAGTATATAATTGTTGGGCATTCCTGAACTCTATCTATTACACACGGTGTGAAATAGGAAGATTTAAGGGGGACCAGTGGAGCTTTTAGAACTGCAGGAGCTCTCAAATAAAGATTTTGACATACTTTTGTAGACTTTGAGCTTGATTAAAGGCTCAAACTTTTTACTGGTTTAATTTCCTACTATTATTCAAGTTCAGGATATGGTCATATGCAGGTTTCTTTGTTTGGTATCATGATGGAGAGATACTTCCCTTCTTTGAGCTCTTTACCAGTGATTTGAATGAGAATCCACCTTTTACCATAATAACCTTTAGAGAAATATACCCAGGTCCATAGTGGGAGAGGGTCTTAATCAGTGTCCCCTCCTGGGCTGATAGGTGTATATTGTTGGCGTCTGACTGCTTCCCAAGAAAAATAAACAATATATTGTACAATAAATATCTTTAATTTCTCTGCCCTTCACCAACTCTCAGACCAATTCAGCAAAATCGATCTAAAGCTTTCATCTTTTTCAAAAGACACCACTGGAGCCCCACAATGAACATTGCTGAGGTTAATTATAAAGTGTGGGTAAGCTAGGTCAGAGCTGTAGGAGTAGCCCCTTCCTTTGTTCATATCACTTTTTCAGTTTCCACCCTCTTCAAGCTGTCTGTGTGTGTGTGTGTGTGTGTGTGTGTGTGTGTGTGTGTGTGTGTGTGTGTGTGTGTGTGTGTGTGTGTGTGTGTGTGTGTGCTATTTATTCACCACAGTCAGACATAAATGGAAACACACAGATAATACTTGAAACAGAACAGAAACGTGTTGATGTTTAGCGTAACACAAACTCTTACAACAAAGGGAGATTTGCACTTAATAATGAAGTGATCAGCTCTGAGTTCCGACATTGCAATAGACTGCTGATTCATCTGTTGTTATGTAATTAATGGCGGAGTACGTAACCGCTGCTGTGTGAACTGTGACAGTGCAATCAGTGTGTTTGTCGAAGCTAACAGTGGAGTAGAGGAGGCTGTCCGGTTGGATTTCAGACGCTGATGAAACGGTCACGTTGGTGAAAACATTGTCTTGGTGCTGCACAGATGACGAGCTGCAGATGTTGTTTGTCCTGCCATCTGTTTCTTGATGCTCATTGATTGTTGAAGAGGAAGTAGTGATGTGGTGAGCATCTTGTTTCTGACAGAATGGTGTTGCATAGACTGTGTCCTGGACCTTTCCTGTATGGAGAGTGATGGAACATTGAGTTTTAAATCAAGTTCCAAGTCCCTATGAAATGAAAACTAAGTTTTTACATTACATTATGTTTTACATGTCCTTTCAAGATATAACAAGTAACTTTTACACATTAAGATGTTAAAAAAATGCTTGACCTATATTATGTATTTTGTGGAGTTACATTATCCCAAATGTTTCCAACAATGTTCAGAGTTGTGGTTAACTGCAGAAGCTTGACTTTTTATCCAATTTTAAGCTACATTTTTACGATACACTTGTTATATCTTGGTTGTTTCTCGGCTCACTGTGCCTCCTGGATGTCCTTTGTCTGACAGATAGCGTCGGAGAAACGCTGATAATTAGGGTGAAACTGTGTTATTCAGTGTTTCAGTTAAAATCAGTGGGCCAATCATTTGTTTCGTAGAAGAGGAAACCGAGGGATCTCTGTGGATAACCAAGTAAAAACAGTAGAAACCTCCTGAATGATAAACACACTCCAGGAGAAGCTGACTGCAATGATGGCAGTGGTGACATAATAACTCCCATAATCCCACTTCACAACATCAGCAAACTTTATCTTTTGTTACTGTTGCTAGTTGCTTTGTACTTTTAAAGTGTTAAATGTTTTTCCAATACGGTGGCTATATATAGCACATACTAACAAAACACACGCTGCAAAACTTGTTAGTATGAGTCTGTTGTTGTCATACCAGGAGATGCACTGATGTCTCTGCTCCGATGTCTGAAGAATATGAGAAGGACCATCGCCAGAGCCAGCACAACCACTCCGAGACCTGCTCCAATGTACACCAGCTTCTCTGAAAAAGACACCGTGATGTCTCAGATGTCTCAGTGATGATGTATCACTCAGGACTTAATCTCTTACACAGATACACATCTACACACAAACAGAAAGTTGCTTACTAGAGGAGGACGCTTTTGTATTTGAAATTGTTTGTGGTGTCTCTGGGGTGCTTTTGTTTCCTGAAAGAAAAAAGAAAGACAGAATTATTTTAATATTGTTCCATGACTCTCAATCACTTATTTTCTGTTGTGTTGGCATTTCTTTCCATCAAAGTCTGCTGTGAAAAAGAGAAGATCAGTGTGAGACTGAAAGTGTTGTGAAATACTGGTCATATTTAGGAGAAAAGAAAGTGGAGCAAAGGTCTTTATCTTGTAAGTGATGAAGTACAATAAAAAAAGATGACACAGAAACAGTAATGAATCAACTCACCCTCTACTACTGTGAGGATTATTTCATTGTATGTGTCTATACCATATCTGTCTATTCCACACCAGTAAGTTCCTGAGTCATTGTCTGTCAGATGAGAAATGGTGACGTAGAATGTGTTTCCGTCATCTCTAATGCTGTATTTGTCATTCGAAGCCTCCTTCTCTTTTGTGCTTCTTATCAACATGTCTTCATTTTTACATGTTCCCTTGCAGAAATATTTGACGTTGGAAAATGCGTTGACGTGTGAGCATTTTATTGTGATTGCCTTTTCCAACTCTCCTGTCACTGTGATAGCTTCAGTCTCCCATAACCCTGCACAAAAAACACAGACAGCAACAAAGGTCAGATGTTCATTTGATTTGCAACCAGCTGTTGACCTCACCAATTTCTTTTGCAAACTTCCTTATCAACCCGATAGACTTATCCTGTACCTTAAAGCAGTGGTTCCTTTTTAATCTGCTTTCTTACATACATATGTTTATTAGTTGTAGGCAGTTTATATTGTTTTTATTGCTTCATTAAAATTATTTTACAGGCCTGAACAGATAACATTTACAGATGAAAACAGTCGTTAAAGAAGCTCAAACTCACTCAGAGTGTTTCGAAAATCAACAAAGTTTACAGTATAGGCTCAGAAACAACAGCAAGCCTGTGAGAATTAGTGGCAGCCTGCAGAAATCAGGAAGGGCGAATTTGAAACAAAAAACACATCCACCTGAGAAATCTCACAACCACAAAGACACCAAACATTCAGAGAGAGGAAGAGAGACAGAGGGACCAAAGAATTCCTCCTGTTAAACGTACCTCCCAGTAGACAGACCAACATTAGGAAAATCATCTCCATGCTACTCATTCGATTTGTGTGCCTTCGTTTGCCTTTTTGTTATCTCACCGGGATTTCATGTCTTGGCAATTCTCTCCAAATGAAGGACAACTCACACTTGTCATTGGTTCCTCTTTGCTGTTGCACTTCCTATGTCTAGCCAGCTTCCTCTGTCTAAATCTCCCTACAAAACCACTTGAACCATGGGAAACGCATCACAACACCCCTCCCATCTCGTGCTGTCTCACTGTGAATGTTTAAGATCAATTAAGCCAGTAAATAATTAACACAAGGACACCCTCAGAGATTAGCACTTGGTTTATTTTGATTAATTACATGATTCTTGGTGGATTTTGTTTACTCTGGCACCTTGAGTTGAGAGTCCTGCTCAGACTGTGATAACTCTTTTCAGCCAGTGTCAGTGGTGCATTTTCATCCAGAAATAACAAAATTCGGTAAAAAAACAAAACAAAAAACAAAGCACATAACAAAAAAAAACAAACACTAAAACTACTTGACTCAATCAATCTCAATCAATAACCTTTGAATTGGCCAACGCCCCCTCAGCTCTCTGTCATCCATACATAGTAAAGTTCATTCTTTTTGTTGCAGTTTTGGTCATCATTCCTATTAATTATAACAACTCATTACATACTTTCTGCTGGACTTTGTTAGTTATAATAAAAGAATGAAAAGATAGGCAAAGCTTCAAAAATAGCAGTTGTAATTAGCCTGAAATCACCCTTTAAGAGTATCAACAATTATCTGCTCTTTGACTCCCAGAGGTCCGTCTTTAGGCCTGCTGTTTCCATTAAGGCAGTGATAGACGTGCTCCTCTAAGCGACTGAGATCCAGATGTTGGTAGTGGCAGATGTGCCCTGGTACGTCCACATCAACATAATCACCTTGGCCAAGAGTCACAGTGGACTCCCGTTGCTTTGATGTGAAGTGGGAGCAGAGGTCAGGTGGTGGAGGCGCTAAAGCTGAAAGAGCAGCGCAGTCTGAACACGAACAGCTGCAGCAGGGTTCAGGTTCAGTTCTTACACCAGGCATCATTGTCTCGTAGTCAGATGACATCTGTGGGAAGAGAAACCTTTTGACAGTGAACTGCTTCATGCATGCTTCTCACATTATTCTCTGTATGCAATCTGTGTGTGTCTACTGGACAGTGTGGTATTTTCAGTAGGCAAACCAAACTAAGAGTCTACAGCCAGCGGCTCTGAGTCTGTATTTATTGCACATTGTTGCTTTGAGCTAAATGCTAAAAATACCATGCTGATATGCTCACAATGACAGATGATTACCATGGTTTACCATCTTAGTTTAGTGTGGTAGCGTACTAAAGCTGGATTTATATGTGTGCGTTAAGGGGTGACTGCATGCCTTTGGTGGATATGTGCGTAGCCTCCAAGGTTACACCATACACTACGGCATAAGTTATGTGCACCTCCTAAAAAATGTAACCACCTTCCATTAACCTCTTGCATTGACTATAAATCCAGCTTACAGTTTGCTAATTAGCACTAAACACAGTACAGCTGAGGCTGATGGTGGAGATGGTGATGGTGGCAATACATGAAAAGTCAGAGAATCACCAAACCTATTACGAGTTATCCTGAGGGTACTGTACCAAGTTTCATGCCAATTCATCACCAGTTGCTGAGATATTTCAGTCACTCTGGACAATAGTGGCAGTGGCCATCTCTAGAGTCATGCAACAAGTTTCTGTTGTGGACAAACCTCTCTATTCTGCTGTGGGCCTGGTCTTCGCTGTTTAAGAGCCAACAGAAGACAAAGTGTAAACAGACACACACACAGTAACGCTGCCACACACATCACTGCAGTCAGGTACAGCGGCAGAATGAGCTCTGCAGGAAAGAACAAACACCGAAGTTTACCTGCAAGATTTACTCATACACACATACAATTATGAACACTATGAATACAGATGGACACACACACACACACACACACACACACACACACACACACACACACACACACACACACACACACACACACACACACACATATCACTCACTGTCCACTGTGAGGTCCTTCTTTTGAAAATTGGGTGATACAGTACCTGGAAAGCACAAATAAAACAAGTGTTTATATAAAAAATAAGAAAAAGAAACACTAAACTGCCTGATGTGTAATGTAGATTTTACTTACTGTAATGTATAAGGTTTGTTGTTGTTGAAATGCAGAAAACTGCAAACTACTTTACAAAAACTAACAAATGTGCAGAAACTGCAAAAATATTTAATGGCTTAATTATATACTAATATTTCTGTAGAAATAGAAAGTTCAGAAAAAGAGGAACATGTGGGGGGACAGTAACACCACTTAGTTCTCATTCACAGTATGAGCAGCCTGACATTTTTTAGATTGCAAAACACCAGCTGGACAACCAGAATTTATTGTTTGCTTATATAATCGAATAGATTAAATGTGCATAACAGAAAAATCTATATATGCAGTTAACAGTGATCCTGTGCTGTGACATGACATACTGTACCTCGGGAAACATTCAGTTGTATGACACTGATATGATCAGGGTGTTGGCTGACGTCCACCCCACACCAGTACATCCCGCTGTCCTCTAAGGTGAGATTGTCCACCCTGACAATGAAGAAGGCGCTGATGGTGTTGTCGTACAGAGAGAAACGTCCATTTGTCACCCACTTGTTGTGTTCATTTGTCGATATTAGGTAATTGCTGGACACATTGTCCTTCTCATAGCAGAGGTACTTTGAGTTGTTCTGCTGGCCGTCTTGATAGTTACATCTGAAGTCAAATCTCTGACCTTCCATACCAGTAACAGCTTTGGTTTCGACACTGATCAGAGCTGTCAGTCAGAATGAGCTTTGTTAGTTGCAAAATTGTGTAATCAAGTGTTTTCATAAAAAGTCAACTATTAAGTAAAGTCTATTACATCAGCTTTAAAAGTCTAAATACATAACATACGGCCCACCTTGGATTTGTAAAATAGTAAGGATGACAGTTGTAGTTGTTCTCCATGAGATCCAGATCGCTCCCATCACTCCCAGCTTACCTTCAGTCCACACACTCAGATTCTTCCTCAGCTGCACAATGAGACAGCAACCTGTCTGTGCCTTAAATCAGGTATTTTCTTGTCCATGTGTTTAAACCTCTTCCTCTTTCATGTACGAAGCAGTTCACACATAGCGTTCAACCTATGAAAGTGAAATAATGGTGGGTCATAATGTGACTCAAAATGTGACCTTTAAGTCACAATTCAGCTATACAACACCTCTATAACACCTTACAAAACCAACAAATGACTATGTATAATGTGAATGGTTTCACTCGCACAGAAAATTATCATCAGACTCTGCAGTTAACAGATCTGTGCAGTGTTTTAGCATCTTTTAGTTTTCACAGCCCAAAACTTTACTGAGCATTTAGCAGCTACAGAGTGAGAGTGAGTTCTCAGGAGTTGGTAGAGATAACATGGTTGAAAGGAGAGTGAATATTGGACTTACATTCACCGGGAGGCCAGAAACATGTCACCAAATGAATACTAAAGTTGCTCTTTTGCTAAATAGACAGCTGTTTATATACAGCCAAAAGAAGTGTAAAGAAAAATGCTTACCAACCCTTTATAATGTATACTTTATTAAAAAGTGGCACTGTTATAATTTGTCATCTATATTAACATGCATTATCAAATCTTATCTGTGTAACAACAACAGGCTGCAATATTTGCCTTTAACATTTTACTGACAAGTCCATGACGATGTGATATTTAATTGAACCCGTGCTTTCATTACTCTTTAAATATTGCCTCTTGGCTTGCATCCTTTCTCTCTACTATTTTGTCAGATCAAAATTCAAGAAGGAATTATGTCTTTTATAATTATCAGAGCAAATTAACCTTAAACATCTTTTTTTTGCTATTTATTTTGAAATTTTCGCAATTTTCTTTGCCCCATAGTACACACAAGATAGAGAAGACGTTTCACAGTTTTACAGTAATGGAGGAAATTGTGTTTTTGTGGGTTATATTAATGTGATATAAAGGTGTCTGCCACAATGTCTTTATTGATATGACCACAGGGGTCACCAAAGTCAGAACCTTTAACATACTACATTACTACTACAACGTACTACTCAATACTACAGTGTGTGATATGTTTATTCCACAAAGAAAAGTTTAATTTTGACATTAAAATATTTAAAAAGTAATCTACTTCTTCTACCTCATTAAAAATTCAAGAATCTGTGAATATGCAACTTTTGTACATTTCTAAACTTTTCCTGCTGGACACAAAATGTCTCCTTCTTCACTGTAGAGTCCTTTTTCACTGTATGTGCACTGGTGGCTTCAGGTTTCATCACCCTTGTATAAATTGCATACTGGACCAGGATTAACTATTTGTGATGTCACAAATCATGCTCGTAGCCCCTGCCCCTTAAAATCAGAACAGAGAAACTTTCACTTTCAGCAGATGAATGTGGAAACATTCTTCTGTTTTTAATCTCTGCACATAAATTATTCTGCACATTCTGCAAACATCCAACTGTAGAAGAAATACAGATTTTTGAGTGGAGTGGGACTTTAAACTTCCATCTACATACTCAAATACTCTTACTAACTGCAAACACACGATCAAATATGTGTCTGAGTAGTGTGGAATTCACACGGTTGAAATACCTTTAAATCACATATTTAAATGTATTTTATTAAAGATTAATTAAAGTAGCTTGTAAGTTCAAATGGACAAGAAAGCTGATAAAACAATAACTTATTTTGTATGTAGATGCCTGATTTCCCTGCGACACTGAGATTGTTCAGGATCTAAATGGTTGTCTGGGACAATGATTAATAATAATTATAATCATAAGCCGGTTACAATTTATCTATGTTACACAGTTTGGTTAAGAGCCTTTAAACTTCAAACCATTTTTCCCCCAACGTCACTGTTTCTGTAGTTACTGCTCTCTCTCCCTTTATAAGGTTTTACAATGTGCAATAGCAGTGCTCTCAAATAAAATCCCATTAATAATAGCAAAAACAATAAACTGTATTTACTTAGCACCTTTCATACATGAATGCAATCAAATGCAGGAACACAGTGATGTTACAGATCTTAAAAGACCCCCTCAACTATAGCACTGCAGAAAAACACTTTAAACTTCATAAAGGTACATTTTGATATATGGCTGTAGTATAAGATTTGACTATATTGTAAGCTCTTCCTATTTACAGCCTGATCCATGTGAGACCCATCCGTCCTCTCTCACTATTCTCTGTCAAGTGCTAACTACCAAGTAAAGCGAAACAAATAATCAAAAGTATGTAAAGTAACTCTGTGAAACTAGGTTTCCTCTTTACTGTAAAAAGTAAGATTGGCTGGCTGTAGGCACACAGACCCAAAATCAATGCATGCACTCAGCAGCATGGCTTTGTAAAGCAATAAACAGTAAAAGATAAATGTTACTTATAATTGGAGAAGCAGCATAACACATACAGTTTACACCTTTGAGAGTAACTCAGACTGTTCCTGATAAATCCAAACCAAACCAAAGTGATTTGGGCCTTTCTTCGGTGGAATCACTGCGAGATCTAGAGTGACAACCACTCTGTTCTCTGCTCTCTGTAGCTTTGCTTGTCGCTTTTCTGGTTGCTGTAGGTTTATTTTTGTGTTCCCCAACAGAGCTTTCACCAGTCCTTTCAGATATTGTAGATGGCAATAGTTGGATGTAGACACCAGAGCTTGTAGAGCCATGCTCGTCTTGGACGCCTGCAACTGAACACCTTGAATCAGCAGTAACTTTGGAGCAGCAGATGTTTTCATAGATATGATGGGGTGCGCTGCATTCGGCTTCTGTGGACGCAGACGTCGGTGGGTCCTGTTTTGGGGTCTGTGTGCTAAAGAACCTCTCACATCTTTTTAGAGATCGCACTTCCTCGCCAATCTCCTCATACACACGGTCAACCTGTTAAAAATGGCAAAAAAAACACAACAACAAATCAGCCTGTATTATATGTTCTACAGCTTATTGGCCTCTGTATTGAATCTACTCAGTAAAACATATGTATAGATATCATATAAAGTACTGATGTAGATTTTGACGGACATGTAATACCTACCAAATTGTGTTTTCTATTAACATAATGAGCAAATGTTGTTTATAAATGTACCCAAAATGTTGACACTGGACATATGAGTAAAATGTTCACTGATTTTGCAAGAATATTATTTAATGCTGTTTGCTGTAAAATCCATATTTGTAAACCTCTTAATGAACTGTAATACACCCACACGTACACCAGGGTTCACCAACCTTTGTGAGAGTCAGGGCTACCAAAAGGCAGCTGAAGTATAGTTGACACACATCCATTGATGCTTTCAATAGAATAACATAGCAGTATTTTAGTCATTTTTTAGTCATATACAGGGTTGAACCAATTTAATTTGGTATTGCGGGTGTGAAAGTGTTTTTTGTTCTGGTTTTGGTATTAACACTGAAATATCTTTCGAGAAATATACTGATATGAACTGAGAGTCAATTTAAGGTCAAGGTAAACCAATTCATTGATAGATCATGAAAATTGAAAACTCAGAGAAAGTAGGCCTTGGTCGCCATTTGGGTATTAAATATTAGTAAGTAAGTAAATATTAGTGATGAGATTAATAACATGAAGATTGAGATTACAGGACATGCTCTGTGGGCAACTCATAGGCTACTCGCGGCCTACCACATTGGAAAGCCCCTTTGGTACCCAAAATACCACTGTTGTGTAGGGGATACACTACTTTTTCATTATTATTAGTATTTAATCACTAGTGATTAATAATACACTCGATAAATGGGGCACCACCTCCGTTGTTTAGCTACTGGAATAATCCGGAGGAAATTATTCCACAGATCTAATCAAATCAATTTATCAAATTTCAAAATCTATATTTAATCTCAATATTTCTGAAGTAGTGATTTCTTTTACACGATTCATCGATTTCCCCGCATCAAATCAAACCTGCACAGACAAGGACATACGGTTATATATGTTTATTAACTAAATTAATGAAGAGTAAATAACATGAAATGATAATGTAAACAAATAGCAACAAATAACAGAATATGTGGACAGTAAATGAATTATTGATATTGGGTGATTCAGGAGCGATGGTGGATTTTGCGATACGGCAGTAACCCTAGAATATTACGGGAGTAAAATTTAAGGCTACGATGCCCTAATCGAAAATTCTTCTAAGCTTAAACTATGGGAATCAAAGGTCACAGACAGACACCAACTCTTGGGAAGTGTGTGGGACCCCGGCAGGGTATGTGGGTTTCAGCCTACTTTGTTGTAGAGATGGAGGGACTTCAGAATCTTTCTCCTCCGGCTGGTACTGCTCGGCTGCTGTTCAGAATCACAGGTCCAAGAACGTGTCGTCACCGATACCAGTGGCAAGCGCTCCAGTCCAAGGCCCAGCGCGACTTGGCGCTTTGAGTGCGTTGGAGGCAGGTAGTCTGGAGGATAATGTCTTTGTCCGGCTGAAACGTTTATACGTCTCCTTGAGCGGTCAACCACGGTGATGTCCTTTTGGCTTGTGATCAATGTCTTAAGAAAAGTTCCTCAGAGTGGTTGGTCCTTGGCTTTGATTATGAACTAATCCAACTTCTGGTCTAAAATAACTGTAGGACGAAACGCTGGCCTTGCGAATCTTCTGTAGTCACTAAGTCCAAGAATTAAACTAAATTCACTTTCTGTGAATCAGGCGACAATACTTGACAAGATATATAAACTAAAACAAACTTATAAAAGAATTAACTGTGTTCGTGTCTTGAGCCTTCAAAATAAAAGTACTAAAAGTACTTCAGCGCCGCTAATTATTACGTGAGGAAAAATTCAACACGTGTCTCAAACGAAGTAAAATAACGTACGAAATCAAAGTAGAACGAAAGTAAATAACGAATGGATCCAATGTAGATTTAAGAAGAGAGTTTGGAAGTGTAAAAGTAAGAGAGAGCGTAAAAGTAAGAGAGCGTAAAAGTAAGAGAGAGCTAAGTTATATCGGAGTCTATATTATATATGTTTTAGTTTGGAGGCGTATCCGGAAAGGCTAATCGCGTCACTTCCTTTAGCGATATTTCGATATTCGTAACTTTATTAACTCACTTCTATCGTGTTTTAAAGTTTCAAAATCCTAATTCACCATTCACAGAACCCACCATGACTCAATACATAGTTTACATGTTTTAACATAACATAATCGAAATTACTTGATGTAAAAATAAAACCAGACCTAGTTAAAATGTCACAAACATGTATATGAAACAACACTAATGGATTGTACATATTTCATATAGTGTTAGCTTAATTCGTGTTATAAAATTGTGTGTCAGGCATTTACCGTTTGGAATAATACACAACTATAAAACAAAATCTGTTTTGAAGATACCTTACGCTATACCAGAATCTTACCAAAAGGTGGCACTGTGGCTCCATCACACATTCAAGCATTTTACACATGATTTTGTAACTTAGTCCAATCTGAAGACAGAAACATCAGACAAACATTACATTTGCGATCTTCTCATGCTGGATGGCAATCTGTTAATTTTGAGAAGAGGAAATTTTAACATAATACTATAACAGAACTAAATCTATATCCGTGCAACTGTTGTTACGGCTTCCTAGATTGGAATGTCCACTATCAAAAGAAAACATCGTAATTTACACTTTAGAGGAAGGGGTGTCAGAATACCAGATGTGGATTCCAGAGGAGTTTCTCTCTGGAGGTGGTACCTTTTAGACTAAAGGAGATGCAAACACACTCCATGTCTATTCCATAGGAATTTACAACTAAAAGGGCACTCAAGTATCACACACGATCCACTTTAGGTGTAGGGTGTCGTTCTGATCTGTGGAAGAGGATAAAGCAAAGTGACACCTAGAGATCCCATCTGAGAATCTGAAAAGAACCAGGCTCTCGGTGCAGGATACTGTCGGCGCCAGAGTCTCACCTCCCCTCCTGGGTCAAAAAGTTAAAGGGGAAAGAGGAGGCCTTGAAAACTCTCATAATCAAAATAATATGATGATTGTTGAATCAAGAGACTGATAAAGCGTCTCTTGTAGAGGAAGACGAGGACAAGGTCCTACAGTTGTGTTTGTTTAGTAAATATGAAACTACAACTAGGAGATGCATAACTTAGCATACCAAAATGAATGAAAGCAGGGGGAACAGCTAGCCTGTCTAAAAGTAACAAAATCCACCTACCAGCACCTTTAAAGCTCACCAAAAAGTCAGGAATATTATATTTCATTTCTGCCAACAGAAAATGTTGCTGTGACAAGTGAATTTCCCCATTGTGGGATTAATAAAGTTATCTATCTATCTATCTATCTATCTATCTATCTATCTATCTATCTATCTATCTATCTATCTATCTATCTATCTATCTATCTATCTATCTACCCCCTGTTCATACACTAACCTCTGAAACAGGAAAAGAAACTTGATTTTCCTCAGCTTACTTTAATTTACTGTCAAGACTATCGTCATGTTAGGTTAGGGTTAGCTGTGCACTTAAGGGACATGTTGAGCCCCAGTTTCTGTCTCATACCTCGCTTTCATCTGCAATGAAGACGTCTGTGGTGTTGGAGCAAACTTGTTGTTGAGGTTTTGACTTTCCTCTATATTTCCTGAAGCACATTGCCAGCATCAAGATAGTGAGCATGAAAACGACCCCGACAGTAGCGTACAGCACAGTGCCTGACCAAAAACAAGAAAGCTGGCTCAACAATTGTACATATGCACAAGTCACCAGTTAATGTTCATGCACCTACCACACACTTAAAATGACAAGATGGAGAGTCACCTGTGCTGATGTTCTGTTCTCCTCCGTCAGTGCAGTTTGAGGCTGTAAGGTTGGATGGAATATTACTTTCTGTATGTTTATCTATGATTTATGTTTGTAAGGATGAAAATTTGATCACATTTTCTTCATACCTGTTGAAAAGTTTGTAGGGCTACTGGTGACTGTTCCAATTAACAACTGTGTTGAGTTGGAAATGAACTGATATGTCCATGTAGGAGAAAGTTCAGATACGGTAGTTGTTGTTTCATTTGCAGCTGTATGGGGAACAGTGGTGGAAGAAGTATTTAAAATCCAAGGGAAATGCAAGTACAATGATTTAAGTAATGTACCCAAAGCATCAAAAACAAAAGGAATAATTCTGTAGTAAATGGTACTGTGAGTGATGTATTATTATGTGACACTTAAGACACATTTTACTGCTGTAGCTGCTCGAGGTGGAGCTCATTTAACTACTTCACATACAGTTAGGTAGTGCCAACCCAGGGGTCGGCACCCCTTGTGAGGGTCACAAGATGAATCTGAGGTTCATGAGATGATTACGGTAATGGTGTTGGGAAGAAGAACAAACAGTTCCGATAAACACATTTCTATTTATTTTTTACATTTTTATCTAATCTTTACTCAAACTGTTTGAGGAAACCAATTGCAGTAAGCAGTTTGAATGTATTAACTCCAACCATTTAAGCATTAAGAAATATTTGAGTACAAGCAACTCATTTATTGTTAAGGTAAGATAAGCGATTTGGCGGCTTGTTTGTACCATCAGCCATCAGACTCCACAACGCCACAGCACCCAGTGCACCCAGTACCTCCAACCCTTGCTGACTAAGACTGGTTTTAACTTCAACCAAACTCTGGCACAAACTATTTAAACTATTTATCTTTAATCTTTAAGTTTGTACATGTACAGTTTAGTTTAGTTTTTCAAAGGAAAAAACTGCTCAAATTTTTTGCACACTATTTTACTGCATATTGCATATAGTGTATATATTTTCCATTTATATATATATATATCTTCTATCATATTTTGTTAATATTCTAATATTGGGATTCTTATCTTAACATCTTATCTTATCTTATCTTAAATTAAGTGAATTGTGCTTAAAACTAGTAGGTATATTATGCAAATATGTAGCATTTCTCCAAACTTATTTAAAATATGTTGACATAATTTATCTGAATAAAGTAAGACTAACTTAAATGCATCTTCTTTATGTTACCACTTAAATTGATTTACTCAGTTTTCTTCCAGTAAAGCAAAATATTACAATAACTGAAACAGCTGACGTATTATAAAAACAATGTACAATGAATTCTTTGGGGTTTACATTTTTGTAATGACATAAAAACAATTTAAAGATTCAGGATACAAGAGGTTTATTATCATATGTACAGTAAGAAACACAGTGGTTTGTACATACAATGAAAATCTTACTTTGCCCGACTCCCTGAGGCAATACACAAGAAGAAAAGTAAAGAAAATGAGTCAATTGAACAACCTGGAATTATATCACCAATACTTAGAATACTGCACAAATGTAAGTGTACTCAAAACAACGGTTCATTTTTTAGTTGGATTTATTTAAGGGAATGAGTGACTAGAACATTTTTGAGGATTAAGTTACGTTAACTTACTTCTTTTATTAAGATATGTGGTTATGATTGACAGAGTTGAACTGTTATTTTAATAAAATCATGTAAGAAGTGGAAATCTGTCTTTGGTGGAACTTAGGTGGAACTTGTGAAACGTGTGACACAGAGCCTCAGCTAAACACAAATACACTCCCAAAAGACATTGGAACCACTGATTTATTCTAAAAACACATTGTATTTAGCTCTCAGATAAATATAGTGCAGTAAAATGGAATATAGTAGTATGTAGTGTGTATTCACAAATGCAGAAACAGTCAGTCAGTCAGTGTAAGGATATATCTTATTCAAGGTAAGAGTAATCATATACCTACCTTCCTTTACAGTAAGCTGTACGGCAGTGAATGTATCAAAACCAGGCCTGTCCACTCCACACCAGTACCTCCCTGAGTCTGACATCTGGAGTTGACTGAAGGTCACAGTGAAGGCTCCGTTCCCCAAGTCCACCAGAGTTATCCTCCCCGACTCTGCTCTTTTACCAGATCCTACAGTCAACAGTCTATCTTGACGGTTTTCACACGGATCCTGGCAGAGGTATTTATCGTAGAGCCACGCAACTCTGTGTGAACACCGGAACGAGACTTCTCCCCTCTCGAATCCCTCTACACTAATGCTCTCTCCCTCTGCCCACATAGCTGCCAAAATAAAATCAATGTTAGGAGTTAAAGCATCTTTGAGTTGTTTAAATAATCAATAGCTATATTTCCACTTACCATAAAGAAGACAGTAGAAGACATAAATGGTCTTCATTGTGAAGTGCCAGGTTTGTAGTTTTTTCTTATTCTGGGTAGTTTCTCCAGGGTTTGTACATTTACATTTATAAAAAAAAACAAAGAAAAAAAAAACTCAAAACTCTTATCTTAAATGCTTTCTAACAAGTTAACAGGGATTACACGTTACACCATGCCCTACCACTACACAATCTGGTGCAAATGAAACAGCTTCAGTTATCTAGCATCTTCTTGTGGTTTTGACTATACAAAGGTGGAACATGAGGGCTGTACATTTACGTAAGACATTAACACAACAGAACAGAAACATGCGTGAACAAAGATGAAGTGAGAGGACCAGTGTCTCTGATGTACTCCCACCAACTGAAATTCAACACATACACCACCAACCGCGAATAACATACCAAACGACACTCTACTACTGCTTCTCTTCAGATCTACTTCTGAAAAATACATCCAGCTCACTATACAGAATAGCTTTAAAGCTGCTATAGTCGATATTTTTTTATAATAAAAAACAACCTTGCAGATGTGAGTCATTGTGGTTAAGACACCTTTCACAAAGTTTGTAGTGGTGTGGTGACTTAAGTAAAAGGTCTCTTCAGCACTGGTGGGTGGGTGTGTTAAAACAATGATGGAATTTCTCTCATTTGTCTTTCTTCTCTCTGACCTTCCTGGAAAGTTAGTGACTCACAGTCATTCTAAGCAATCAACACAATTCAGCAGACTGGTGCTTGTGCATAATAATAATAATAATAATAATAATAATAGTTATTATTATTAATGAACAATAATATTAATATTATCATTATTATTTTTATTATTAATTCTTAATACTTTAAACTCATTATGATATTTATTGTCACCAATTAATTCTTAATATCATATATATCTTATAAACTTGACAATTGTTTAATGTCATTCTGTCCTCTGTTGCTGCATTTGGTTTCTGCAGATCTTCACAACAATGTGAGAGGGAGATGAGCAGAAACTAAATGGATGACAACAAACCTTTTTAGTGGTTTAAATGTCACATTTAAGACAATTGCAAGGTTTCTAAAGGATTCACAGTCATGGAGCTATCAGGAGGTGATTGAGAGATGTAAGAGTGGTCATGTTGAACCATAACATGTGCACAGTAGCACCCTCTGCAGGTCTTACTGCAACAGTACTTTGGATTTTATGAAGAATAACTCAGCATCTTAAACTGCAGCAGAAATGAACTCTCTGACAAGGCTGTAGTGAGTCCAGTAGTGCCTTATGTCCAGTGTGCATTATTGTGTTGTATTTCTGTCCCTGGAACACACCATTATCTTATTTACATGAACATACTTGTCTCTATAGCCTTACCTTTTTGTCTAATATATCAGCAACCCATTTGTATGGAAGATTTAAAAGGCTTGAATTAAATTAGAAATCAAAGAAAGGAATAAAGTAAAATACAATACTCAGCAATGTATGTATTTTCTTTTTTAATGTGCATTTACTGTATCATATGAAAGGAAAACATTGCAGTCTCTGGCACAACCCCATGACAAATAATGATAGTGGTGCATTTAATATTGGCAGGTTTAAGCTGCTTTCTGCTGCTCAACACTGAAATACAATACACCACTTTACATTGTTTTTTGAGTTATGATTAAATTTTAATATGACATGTATGTCACAATAAAGAACAAAAGAACAAATGCTAAATAATTTTCAATTTAGATATGTTATTCTACTTATGACAGTAAATGCATACATAAAAAGGAAACACACATTACAATGTGATTTGTAATTCACTTTATTACTTAGTTGAATTTGTTATAATTAAGCATTTTAAATCTTCCGCTGTGTGCGGCATTAGCTTCATCCTGCAAATCTACTGGCCCCCGTTACTTATTCACTTTCATCAGGCAGCACCCGATGTGTCTGACTGAGACTTATTCATTATGTTAAGTGAACTAACTCCTGTTCTGGAAGATCAAGAGGACAGCAAGCATGTCACTGAGGATTGTCATTGTAAGAAACTGTAATATGCCACAGATAATTAACTCTATATACTAAATGAGACATGCAAAGGGAGAATATGCACTCAAGCAGAAATATATTCTATATATATTTTTCCTTTATTTGATTCCAGATACAGAGAGGAGGGTGAGATTAGCCATCAGCTCAGAAACAGAATAAACCCTGCTCAGTCCAGACTTTTTGGATCGAGTGCCTGGTAGATGGCAGTGTACTGGGAAGCAGCCTGAGCACTGGACTCTGGATCAGCATCTGGTTCTACAGACTGCAGCCTCACTGGAGCCTGAGTGGAATCTTCCTCGCAGTAATCAGCCTGGAAATAAACAAGAATCATCACTAAGCCTAATTTTATCAGAGCTGTAAACTTTAATGCTTAAAACATCGTCACTGGAGATGAACACTTTAATCAAAAGGAAGATTGGTAAATGGCAAAAGAGCCACTCACCTGACCCTTGTTTGCTTCAGGACTGTTCTGACCTTCTGAAACAAACAAGCAACAAAAGGCATTAAACTGTGTATAAATGCACATGTGAATGGTCAGTTTTGGTTTGAGTTCACACTGCGGAGTCAAAATATTGTGTGTGTAGCTCACCCGGGTTACTCCGGCAGTGTCCGTAGAATATAAGAGGTATAATGGCACAAACCAGAAGAGCCAGGCTCACCGAAACAATAATGACCACTGTGGTATCTGCAAACAATAGATCCAGACATACACCTGTGCTGGTGACCACACACAGTTTACTTTATAACAAAACAAGTCCCTCAAAAAAGAAAGACAAAATAATCCATAACACATATTCAGAAAAGGTTTGAGTCATGTTCAGTTGATTTTCTGCATAAAAATACTAATTTTGATGCTAATTTGATTATTCCACACAACTCTGCATCATATCCATCACACAGTAGCACTTTTTCATTTCAGTCAATAATATTACATAGTTAGATAGTGTGATTCATATGTGGCATTCAGCTGTGGGTTGGGGTAAAAGAAACACCTTTTTTCCAGTCTTTGAAGAAAAACTGTTTTACCTTTAGTAATATAAAAGTAAATGCCTTTTTTCCCATTCTAATATACAACACAAATACAATTAACTACATGGAAAATATAGCCATTAGCCACCTCCTGACAGAAATGTGATATATCTTTGTCACGAGTACTCATAAGCCACAGCCAATAACACATTTTACAGACTGATTTAAGATCTAACTCACAGCAACAAGCTGTAAGCTGTAAGCTGTATAGCTTTAAGAATGTCTTTACTGACTTTAACTGTGAATTCGTAACATTAACTAGACTGACTCAATAATAATTACTAGCACTACTTTACTGCTGCTAAACTGTGAAATACCTGTGAGTTTGGTTGCTGCTTGCTGGTTGGTCTTCTCCTCTGCAGCGGGCAGGGTTGCTGGTGATGGTGCAGTGCTGGATAGAAAGCTGCCTTGGGGCAGAGTTTCTGCTTCAGTCTGCAGGGAGGTGGTGGAGGGAGGAGGTCCCGAAGGAACAGTGGAAGCTTTGAGAGGACAGGATAGAGGATGACTGGTGAGGAATAACATGTGTGTGTTTGTGTGTGTTGTGTGTGTGTGTGTGTGTGTGTGTGTGTGTGTTCTAATGTGATAATATACCTTACTTTGTATATCCCACGGACATTGTATCACAAGATGTACAGTACATATAATAACGTCAGACACTCCATGCAACTCAGTCTAGCCTGCAAAATCAATAGTTAACATGCCCTTTTCACTTGCCTCAGTAAAGCTGCCCCAGCACGTCTTCAGCTTGTACAAAATGCAGCAGTTAAGCTAGGACTGGCTCTCACGTCACTCCTATTTTATCCTCTGATCACTTATAAGGCACAACATGGCTAGGCTCCTGCCTATATATCCAAGCTACTAAGCTCTTACACCACTGAGCGGTCACAAAGCCTGTTGGTCACGCTGTATGCCACATTTAAAACCAAAGGCGACTGGTCTTTTGCTGTCCTGGCACCCAGACTTGGGACCAATCGTCCCGCTTGCATTAGGTCAGCTGAGTCTTTTGACTGCTTTAATAAAAAACATGTAAAAAGCCTTTAGGGCGTTTTTTAAAAAATGATTTTAAGGGTGTGCTCTGGGTGGTGACTGGTGCTGTATGATTTCTGTGTTCATATGTACATTATGTTTGTATGTTTTTTTCTTGTATGCAGTGTTTTTTCTGTATTGATGTTAATGTATAGTACCTTGTAACTTAAAAAAGGTGCTAAATAACTAAAGTTTGATTTTCTTACTAATAGAATTTACAAGACAATGAGTTTTCAGTCCTACAGAGCTTTGTTTCATACAGAATCACCTATCTCGAACAGAAGATAAATAGTCTGTTACCTCAAAACAGGAATGTTTACGCATCTAGCTAAAAGCTTACCATTTAGGACAATGAGATTGACCTCCCGGTACAACACATTAAATGTTTCCCCCACTCCACAGTGATATCTCCCTGCGTCCGCTCTCTTCAGCCTCTTTATTGTCACATTGAAGCTCCCGTCTCCTCTGTTGACCTCCATGCTGTATCTCCCCCGCCTTGTGACAGCCAAGCTCTTCCTCTCGGTCTGAATGAGAATGTTTTCTCTGGAGCACACTCCTTTGCAGAAGTACATGTTGTAGTGTTCAGAGCTGTTGTCTGCGGTCCAGCTGCCAGAGCAGTGGATGGAGACCTCTCCTCCAAGATAGCTTCTCACCTCCAGCACTGCTGAGGCCTCAGCACAAACAACTGTCGTATAAAACGTAAAATATAAAAATGTGAATGAGCTGCTTAAAGCTCATTAAAACGAACAAACAAACACATAATTACAGAACCTTGCAATGTAAAGCTGAAGGAAGCTTCGGTTTTGGGTGAAAACTCTCTTCACCCAGATTCATCGCTATGAGGGACCTCTTTCACTTTGTTGTTTTCACCTCATAATTATACAATAAATACTAGTTATAGGCGCTTTAACTTTTATACTACTTTACTTAACTTATTAAATACCATGCAACAAGAGAAATTTGTTTTTTTTTTACCTACATATTTTGTGAATTAATTTGAAAAAAGAAACAATGCAAGTTTGAATTGTTCCACCATTGGGTTCACCCAATATTTCTGACTAATGGAAGTCATCAAAGTTAATTTTATATATCAGAATTTATGCGCAATGAGCAGTTCATTCAGCTGTATGTGATCACTCCCATAATTATCTACCTATGTTCATTTTTTAAATGTTTCAATATATATATATATTTTTTTAAATATACAGAATTGAACCAAGATCTTTGTGGTTACAATATATGGTGTGTACAACTTTCAAATCTGCAGCCACTACTGCTGTATTATTAAAAGCAGTTAATACGGTTTTAAACAGCACCATTTTACTCATTCACTTCAGCTGAATTGATTTATTGTTTGTATTTCTGAATACAGCATTAACATAGATTCCATAAGAGTGAACTATTTTAGATAATTAAGGAATTATTGGAGACAATTTCAGTTACTTTTCAACTAAGAAAACACAATATTAAATATCATCAGTGCAGTTCATTATTACATTTACACTTAACTTAATGATAAAATTAGAATGACACTTTTACAAATAAAACATACTGATATGAATGTTTTCAAGAGGAAAATACATCAAAACTCACCTGACAACCAGCAAAAAATGAAGACATGAACAATCTTCATTCTTTATCCAGGTTAAAAACAAACCAAGAAGAAAATTTTAGTCTAGAAGTATCAGAAAAAACGCAGCAGTCTGCTTCAAATTAGTCATCTGATTCAGTGCCATAAAGCATACGTGCCTTAATGATCCAGAAAAGCCACAAAGATGTGATTGTGCAGGAAATTATTGCAGCAGCTGTTTTGTCTTCAGCTCATGTGGGCATGATTCTGTTTTACAATTCCTCTTCTTTTTTTTTTTTACAATGGCCGTTAAATCTTTTCAAACAAAGAATAAACAGTATACACAGTTCTCCACCCCCTTATCTCTGTCACTCTGCTCTGAAGGACCAGCCCTTGACTGTGACACAATCTTCAGTCTTTATGTTTATTGTTCAGGCTCTTGCAGCAGTGTGGCTCAGTGCATCTACAATACATGAAGCTGGCGGGCATCAAACTCAACAAGCTGTCTGCTGACTGTGTCACGGGTATCAGAGGGCAGCCCGAGGGTTGTTTCATAAAGCAAGGCTTAAAGGTCAAATTCTACTTACTTCAGCAAATCAGGCTCGGATTTCTGATTTCAGAAAATTTTGCTTGAAGTTGTTCCGCCTAGTTTTTAGGCTTGCACACTGGTGGGTTAGGGTTAGGGCAGACAACATTTTCTCCTATAAGGGACTGTACGGAAATTATTGCTATGAGGAAGAGGGTTGGATCTTCTGTTTTATATAAAAGCAAGGCCCTGCCCAGAATTATTACATTTTGGACCCTCCCCTTATATCACACAAGTGTGTGTTTCTAACACAATAATGACCAAGAGTTTATGTTAAATTAAGAGTTTTCAAGATACAAGATTAACAAATCCAACCTTGCTTATTTTGAAGAATAGGATTGTGTTAGCTGCCTAACATCACATTAGCCTGGATTAGTTTAAGCCTGTTAGCCTTGCTTAGTATAAAGACCGAAAGCAGGGGAAAACAGCTAGCCTGGCTCTGTCAAAAGGTTATAAAATGTGCCTCTTTAACTCACTATCTAACACATTATATATATCTTGATTCTATTATGCACAAAAAAGTGTAAAGAGATGCTGGCTCCAGATCCATAATGAACGGCATATATGAGAGAAGTATTCATCTTATTATCTAACTGTTGGCAAGACCATGAATAAGTGTTTTTTCCCCAAAAGTTTCTAAACATGTGTACTTACAAGCCTGATTTTGTGACATGAAAACCAGTTTGGAAGCCAATCACAGTCCAATGTGCAACTTGCAATGTGAACTTGAAACATCCACAGTTTTAACTTACGACGGACAGATCAGTTGGAAGTGTACACATTTATTGAGGTTAGCAACAGAGAAAGACTTTGGCAAACAGACCGTCATTGGCCAGATACAATGACAGGAGCATCTGTGAATGTAAAAGAATACAAGGTCACTCACAGGACACAAGAGCCCTTGAGCCTTCCCTTGTTGTCAGAGCTGACTCTGGTGTCAGCAGTGGCTACAGGGAAAACACAAACAATACCCCGGTTCAGGTTTACAGCACTAGTTTTAATGTCTGTCTTGTTCTTTCCATAATGATGATAGTGACATGTTATTAGTCAGCCAGCAACTTTTCAGTTGGATGTGAAGTGTAGACTTCTCCATACAGAAATCTTTCTACACACTTTATAAGCGTTCCATCCTAACTATGTAAACAATTCAATGCACGTTTTTATGTTACAATTTCATACAAAAAGAAAACATCTTTTTTAGGGAGAACCTTTATTACCAACAAAGCAGTTCCCACAGAATAGTGCACATATTTTTTATATATTATAATACAGTTATTTTCATCAAAATATAATCTTATTCAGTAAACCAAACACCAAACAGTGTCATTCATATTTACATTCTAGCCTCTGAAATGCTGCAGTCATTCATGGTCAACATTTTCCCATGGTGTTTTTACACTATGGTTGACAATCCCATCCCATGAGTCTCTCCTTTATTGTCTGGTGTGACTCCACATGAACGTCCATGTGATGATTGATAAAAAAAAAGTAGTTGGCAGCTTAGTCTGACAGTTGTAAAGTCCTGGCGGTCCGTTGGACTTGCTTAAGATCGTGGGAGGACCTGAGCGATGGTGTCCCGGGCGCTCTGGCTGAGCCTTTCTGGGAACTTAACCTCAAACTCCACTATTAGGTCACCTCGACGATCTGGCCGTTTGGGATAAGGCAGCCCCTCGCCACTGACACGCCGCTTCATCCCTGGCTGCACAATATCTGTTGATGAGACGGTCACCGTTTTGCCTTCCAAGGTGGGTGCACTGACTGTGCAGCCACACAAGGCCTGATGGGACAGAAGGGAAAATAAAAGGGAGAGAAACACAGGTTAAGATCATGAAGAGGCACTAACAGGAACTTCAATTTCAACTGACGATTTTCAGCTGATAACAATTCTTTGGGTTTGTATTCAAGCATTTATGTGAGGTGTTTAAGAAAGGTAAGTGACAATAAGGTGTAATCTTAACTTACATCTCTGAGGGACACTTTCGCTGTGTAAATGATGTCAGAGCCTTCACGTTTGAATACTGGATGTGGCTTGTCTTTCAACACAAAGACCACATCAGCTGGAATGTTCGTGGGAGTCTCGTCCCCCTCTTTGGGAAATGTGATTTTCGTGCCCTCTTTCCACCCCTTCTTTATCTGCACCTCTAGGATTTTATCTTCTGGCCTTATTGATCGCCCGTCGGGGTTCAGCCTTTTACGCGAGATCTTCATTTTCTTTGTGCAGCCTGAAAGAACTTCCTCCAAGCTCACCTGGAGATCATGAACCACAGGGGGGTCCTGCTGCTTCTTTACAACGCTACTGTGAGGGCCCATTCCTCCCATACCGGAGCTGAAGGAGCGAGGGAACCCGCCCATTCCACCGCCCCCCATACCAAAGCGGGCAAAAGGGTCATCAGTGTCCATCTCCTCATCCATGCCTCCATTGCGGGCACCAAAGAACTGTCCAAAGGGATTACGTCCACCGAAGAACTCTTCAAAGATGGCATGGGGGTCGCCCTGGAAGGTGTAGCTGAAGGTGCCAGGACCACCACCACCACCACCACCTGAGGGGCCTCCGCCTTTCAGACCTGAGTGAGACAAACAATCAGTTAATACATTTAATAGGGGTACAACAAAAACCGTTTTGAATTGGAAAATCGATTTTGATTTAAAAGATGCGAGTGCATCGGTACACGGACTAATAAATCGGTCATAATGTAGCTTGAACCGGCCGATGGCCCGATTAAAAAGTTATAAATCGGTTTACGCTGCTGATGCAGCAGCAGCTGCTGAAAACTGCATCTCTCTCTGACCGTCTCTCGCTCCCTCCCTTAAAACTCTAGCGAGTTACGTCAGATAGCGCTGTGAGTTTGTGAGGGAAAGTTTAAAAAATGGCTGACTCGGGCAGGATTCACAAAGCTCGGGCAAGTTTAAAGTCTAAAATGTGGAAGAAATTTGGATTTTATTTGAAGAATGGAGTACTGGATAAAAGCGTCGCTATATGCAAAGACTGTAAAACTGCGATAAAGTACTCCGGTAGTACGACAAATCTCCACACTCACTTGGTGAGACAGCATGGGGAAACAGGCGAGGAGGAGGCTAGCACAGATAGCACAAAGACACAGACAGAAATACAGGACTTATTCCAGCCAAAACTCACCCACAACTCAGCGAGAACAAAGGTAATAACGGCCTCAATAACCCGGTTCATTGTTAAAGACATGAGACCATACTCTGTCGTGGAGAATGATGGCTTTCGGGACATGATAAAAACATCAGAGCCCCGATACACCATACTGACTCGACAGCATTTCACTAACAAGTGCGTACCAGAGTTGTACAACCAAGTTAAGGATGAAGTCAAAGTAGACAATTTGTCTACTTTCAACAAGAAATCCATTGCATCATACCCTCACGAATTGAGCTGTGCCACATCGAATCGAAATCCTTCTGAATCGAACTGAATCAATCGTTCCATTTTAAAATGTATCGTTCTTGAAGCGTATCGTACCCCATGTATCGAGATACGCATCGAATAGTCTTTTATTGGAGAGATGCACACCCCTAACATTTAACACTAAAAAGGAGTAAATCAAATCTTCATTGTCCTGTTTTATTGTTACAGAGGTAAGTGTGGTTCATAAGGGAGAAACCTGGTGCCATTACATTTTTTACGTCCTAAAATTAATCATTTACTACATATAATATTAGATTTAATGTTCAAATTTTTAATCTGTTTTTATAAATAATGGTTTTAAAGTATCACATACACTGCTGTGTTCGAACTGATGCATCATGTTTATGTGCACTTGAATGCTGTTAAATAACTGTAGAAATGCAACAATCTTTAATGTTATATGTGAGTATCCCACTGATATTAAGGTGATCTTATTGATTCTGTTTTAGGTATACACGTGATCTAATTTCTTTCCCAGTTTCTCAGGAATTTCAATTCTTAGCTAAGAAGTAACCATGATGCATGTACACAACACACACAATGCACTGAGTGGGTTATAGTGTTGTCATCGACCTTATTACAATCATTTTAAATGTTTTGATGGAAATTAACAGAACATGACATCGATGCAAACCGGGTTGCCACGGTAACACGTCAGACGACATCGTCTCCAGTCAATAACTTAAACATCTCAAGTGTAACAGAGGACGCTAAAGATTTCTTATATTCTTCCACATGCCTAAAAAACCAGTGTGCCCTTGCCTTTAGTCGCCATGGTTACTAAACAGCTAGGAAAAATAAGGATAAAGTATTTCAACACGTTTCTGTGACACTGCCCCACCTGTCAGGTCGCCGTCATACTGTCAATGGTTGCCATGCACCACAATCAACACCTTCCGTGACAACGCCCCCCAACTCTTCTCCTCCACTCACATTCACCCATTTTCAGTCAGACTTGTGACTTCTAGTAGACACATGTAAGGTGAGTTCTCCTGAGCCTCGCCTCTGCTGGCTCAGAGACAAGCACTGAGTGGAGGACAGAGCAGAGGAGAGAGGGGAGCGCCATGACACACAGGATAACACCAACGTCTGCTCTGTCCCGTGAACGTTGACGCTAAGTTAAAGTTTCATATCGTCGCCTGACATCTGCGGCGTAAAGTTAACGTAACTCTTTAAGAGCTTGCGTAATTAACGGCACAGTTTAGAGATTCATAAGTGAAACCTACCTTCTTCACCATAACGATCGTAGATGTCCTTTTTCTTTGGGTCGCTCAAAACGTCGTAAGCTTCGGCAATCTCTTTGAATTTCTCCTCGGCTCCCGGTGATTTGTTTTTGTCGGGGTGATAGCGCAGAGCCTGCTTACGATAAGCTTTCTTTATATCGTCCTCCGACGCTCCTCTCTTAATTCCCAAAATGTCGTAGTAGTCTTTTCCCATTTTGACCATCCAGCGGCCTCTTTAATAAACAGACTGTCTCTGAACTTCAGTAGCACGTCCTCGGTCGGTCGTCTGTCTGAACTCGGAGCGCTGTACCTCGAAGGTTTTCCTTATAAACCGCTCAGAAACTTCCAGAGTTTTCCACAACGAGCCTGAACAACCTCAACTGTCACAGGTCAGCTAAGACACGCCCAGCGCGACGTCGCGTCATGCTGCCTTCAAGTACTGTCGGAAATATTCAAGCACAGCAACATACCATGCCATATCAGTCACCCAAAACACCACAACAAGAGCATGTAGGCGGTCTTTTTTAAACAAGTGTGTAATACATTCAGTTTTATTTATAGATTTATTTAAAAAGGGGGGGGGACTGTCTCCCTATGGACATTACTGGCGTGGTAGACCCGATCACGGGTATTCACAGCTAATGCCATGAACAATGAATAAACCACAATAAACAATAGTCTAGAGATACTTGTTGTGTGAGCATGGTGCAAAAAAGACAAAGTACCCTCACTGAACCCCACGATACCAAAATGGCACTGTGGATAGACTGCTGGCAGGAGCTTTTGTTAGGCTTGGGTGTGGCCCAGATTTAGGAGCACTAAATCCACTGTGCACCGGCTGGCAGTGTGCCCCACAACAAGGAGATGTAGGTCATAACATTTTGGGACTTTACCTTCAGGCGGGCCAGGTCCTCCAAAATACATATTTCCAACTGTTACTATAGGTTTTATCTGAAACTTACACTATTACAGCAGGACAAACAGTTTGATCCATATAATTGATATTTAAAGGTGCAGCAAGCTCAGCTGCTGCTGATTCATTCACAACTGCTAAACTGAAAAGAAAGAAAGTATCAAATTTTAAACATACAGACTTAACATGTACAGGCTGATTACCACTTAGTGTGTGGTGTTTTATCTAACATATCATTAATAACACTAATAAAGTTTTAGATAAATATCCTCATCAAGGACGAAATCTTGATTTCAGAGGTGTGGGGGGGGGACACGTCCGTGCACACATTCACACACAATCACAGAAGAAACGACAGAGCCAACCGAGCGGCCGTTTTCCGCTTGGTCCTAGTGCTTGACGGGTCTCTGTTTACTGTAGCGTAACATTGTTTTTGGACGGTAAAAACTGCAGGGTACCAAAACGGCCTTTTGAAAAAGTGCAGGGGACATTTATTTTTTTGTTGGTTTTAAACTATTTGGGCTACAGTGTTCATGGCTACCCCTGCCTGCACGAATGGGTATGTCCAAATATGATAAATGACATTATACTGGATAATATTCACCTTCGTTCCATATTCTGTAACACTGCTCTGTGTGGTAGGGCAGGGGAAGAGTGTACGAGTAGCACTTGAAGGCAGCATTTCAAATTTAATGCTACAAATATGTAGGCCTACATGCTTCTGCTCTTACACAGAAATGTCTGTCAGAGATTTGTCAGGACAAGTTGCATTAGTTAAGTGTACAGCAATTATAGTTTTTTTAGATGTTCAAAATTAATCAGTAAATTGCTGTATAAAGTTGAATTTAGTTTGTAAAATATTGACTAATCCGTACGTATGGGATACTCTCTGTCAAGTGAAGCAAAAGATAAGATAAAATAAGATAAGATATTCCTTTATTGATCCCCTGTGGGAGAAATTCGAGTTTGACAGAGCAGTACAGGGAAAATGTAGTGCAAAAAGTACAGAAGTGTAATAATATAAAAAGGATTATAAAATAAAAATATTCTAAAGATATAATGGAAAATATAAAGACTATAATGAAAATATATACACTTTATGCAGTATGCAGTAAGAAATATGGTGTGCATATTGTATAACCAACTGTACACGTGCAAGGTAAGTTTTTGCAAAGAAGTTGTGCATAGCAAAACCTGTTTTTCAGGGATGAGAAATGTTAAATATCCCTGCAGATGTTAAGAGCTCAGACCCACCCTAACAGCAAGATTTTTGTTTTTTTAAGGTGGAGCTCAGAACAAGGGCTTTAGCAGAGCCATCGATTGCAGGTATAATGTCCCCTGCTTTTGTATATTTTTAGGGTATGAATTCAAAGTACATATGTTCATTTAGCCCTCTGTATTTAAGTGTAGTGGACATCAGTGGACCTGCCTCTACCGAACCTGCATGGAAATAAATCCTTTTATTAATCATCACTTTGTCCTCACTGTGTGTTGTTTTACTACTGTACAAAAACATTATTTTGGGGTAAATGTGCCTGACTAATACAAGCAATTCATAGAACATTTCCCCAGAGCGAGTATTGGCTTTGATTTGAGATTATAAAGTGACAACATACCAGGAAAATGACAAACTTTATTAATGTAGGACAGTTTATACACAAAAAAAAACACAATGTACACAGAAAAAGGCTAATGTGCAGTTGTAAACCAATATAATAATAATAATAATAATAATAATATAGTAGACATAACATCGAGAGAAAGGGACAACAGAAAGAAACTGGAAATATAATGCTATTAAATAATTGGTGGTCCGCAGTCTGTAGCCGATTGGATCAACACGCATGCGCATAAACGGCTTCGTATCAATCCAATTACGTTAAGCATAGCAGCGACCACTCCGTCTGCTCAAATCTCATTGGCTAGCTTCCTGATAGTGTGGGCGTCGTCACCTGAACGCCGCCGGCTTTGATTGGCTGCGGCGCGGACGTAGTGTCCGCCTACGGTGGCCTCAGCAGTCGCATATTACTTCGCTGATTGGCGGCGGTTCTGTCACTCATCCAGGATATTAAGGAAGGGGCTACCACTGCCAAGATGAAGCACTACGAGGTAAGTAGTGTTTATGAAACTCTAAACCGTCAATGGGGCGCGTTATTGGGACAGAAGTTCATTAATTAGACCAATTCGGAATTTCCCTGCGATTTCCTGAAGAGTAAACTCCTCCGGGACAGTCTAATTTAAAGCTTTAAGCACGAGCAGTGGGTCGCATGCTGCTGCACCGCCGCCTGTCGCGGGCTGGTTGCTATGACCGGGGATTTGGCCTCTCGTGCACGGAAATTAACGTTTGTACTGGCTAACATTGCAGCTGAATGCACAGACAGTAAAGTCGAGCTGCAGACACACGTAGGATGAATTATACTGGAGGTGTGGGTTTGTTAGGTCTTCGACAAAAGCTGAACGTCTGTGTAAGCTGAACACCGAGCTCTCTGTGGAGGCAAAAAGCTCGGCATCATCGCCATCTGTGGCAGGAATGACTCTTCTTATCGTGTTATTAGCCAATAATGCAGGTGAACAGTCAAGTGCGCTATATTAGCCCATTTTAAATCAACCTTCATGGCTTGGATGGGTTTAACTTTACAAAACCAGACTTAGAAAGAAGAAAGCATGTTTTTGTACGTCTTTATACAGACTTGACTCCTCACATTGGTCTATTTTATCATTCACTGCTACCATTGTACTCCTGCAGCACTAACAGCTTCTGTAGATGTGAGCAAGAGTTTCATGAGCACTAAAAAACCCACCAGACAGGATCTGAAGTAGTCTCACAGAAACTGACCCAACCAGTGGCTGCTCCGGTTCCCCTTCTTTCACTTGACAGATGTGACTTCTGCAACCTGTGAGGGACAAAACAACACTGAAATAATGAAGATAGATCAATTAAAACACAGCCAATATAATAATAATTCTCCTTAACATATTGAACATACTATGTGCTTAATTGTGAGGGTTTTTCATGATAAGTCAATATCAATGTTTGCACTGGTGTCAGCATATATTTGCACTGGCCATTGTGTCGGTTATAGGCCTGACCCCTAATCAATCAGCTCACCTTTTCATGGCAATCTTCACTCATCACCTTCTGATGCCATGCCATTGACAGCATTAGCATGCACATTTTTAAAGTACTTATGAAGCCACAGTGTGGCAATCAGGCTCATGATATGCCCACATTGTAACTAGTGTACCCAGTATTACACTGAAATATGTGACTTCTATGAGCCTGTGGAGGTTAATTATGGTGGTATGAAGTTTTGCAGTTGTAGTAGATATAAGTTAATCAGGTCATATAATCAGGTCACAGAATATGGTGTTACACCATTATACAATGATGTAGCCAACAAAACTGAATGATTAGGCAGTTAATAGACATTGTTGTAGCGTTGGCTATAACTGATATTTAAACTGTATATTTTAACCTTAATAAATATATATATATTATTAATATATTATATGTCTATTACATCTGGAGTATGTAACGAAAGTAATTTCCCCCTGGGATTATTAATGTATTTCCGATTCTGATTCTATTTGAAGTCACAGACAAGCGATAATTGCTGGGTGTGGACTATGACACTATAACCAGTGCACACATTTGAAAGATAAAGACTCACACCAGTGCAAACAAATGCTCTTTAAGATCATTTCTTCCATGTGTATGTTAAACAGAATTACTAGCAAACTAAAAGTATGTAATTGTTACATTTTATAATAACTTGTTACATAAATCAAACTAAGTATTTTCCATTCGGTTCATTAGACCGGTTTATTCATAGTTTCTTTGCATTTACACCAGATAGCACCAGAGAGCTGCATCACTTTCTCAGTGATCTGTCTTGCTTACACACCAATCAGTTTCTAGCACTGTGCACAAAAACACTTCACAATGGATCAAAGAATCACTTCCAGATTACCTGTTAATATGTCTAAGCAGGTTATCTTTCCAGGTTTCAAAAACGGTCTCCTACCTGGGGATAGAAGGTCCAGACATTACCAGCAAAACGCAGCAAAAGTCCCCTCACGAGCAATTAAAGCTTATTTCTCTCTGCTTCACCCTCACCCCAGAGTGCACTACCAGGACAGACTGCCAGACAGAGGCTTTATATAGATGAGGTGGGGGAGGTACAGGGGCAGTGGGTATGCCTGGCACACAGAAAACTGAGATGAGGTTATTTCCCCGAAGTCTCAACTGCGGTGTCATGTGTCCTGCTTGATTTAAGCACACGTGAATTCGAAGAATGAAAGTTTCTACTGTTTAATTTTCACTGAATAAAAAAGCAGCTCAGTGAATATGTTTAAAAAGCTCTGATTAAAGTTAAATTAACATTTTTTGCTTTGTACAAATAACAAAAAACGTATAGACAAAATTCAAACCCAAATCAGTAGAAAGTCCTGTTTAACTCTTTATTTATCTAGACTAAATCCTTTATAATTGATTTT